TCTGACTCTTAGGGCCAGAAGCACTCCTGTTTGGGTGGAGCTTTCTCATGTTCTTGGGAACAAGGTTTCTTTTTCTTGATGTTATTTGTAGGAGAAACCCTTTTCCTATGTTTGTAGGGTTCCCTTCCCCTCTCCAAGAAGCTGTGTATTTGAGAAACAACTGCTGAGATCAGGGACTAAAACCCTTTCTGGGCTGGACGAGTATGAATATGCAATTACAGCTGCTGAAATCAGGCTCTGGGAGCTTCTCAGGGGCAGGAAGAATTGGAATGGAAAGCCCAGAATCAGGGATTGGCCCAGCTCCCAGTCCCACATGGCTTTCTATGCCATGCCACATGCCCGAGAGAGGATTCCCAAGGCTACTGTGCTAACAGCGCAACCTGCCCCTCCCTGCCATGGGGCATGCTGGGAACTGGGACAGCCACATGGCTTCTTAAGGTAGCTATTGAAGAACTTAAAATGACTTAAGGTGGAACAGACAGATGAGAGAAAATGGCAAAAAGGAAATGTGTGACTTTGAGGGCATCTAGGTAAGAGCAAGGCCTGACATTTTGTTTTGTTTTGTTTTTTTCCATAATGTGTCTTGTTTCATTTGCTTGGGTTCAAAAAAGGCCAGAATGAACCTTTTATTGAATACAAAATGTATAGGTTGGACTCTGACAAACCTGGTGTCACCATCCCTGAGTACAGAACTATTTCACCCCAATTGTAACCGTGGGAACAGGGCTGATTTGCTTAGAGGTGCAGAGGAAAGCACCACATTGCCCTGCGGTAAAGAAAGTGAGGTGCCAACCCTTCCTGTTTGCCTGGGACTGAGGAGGCATTCTTGGGGGCATGCTCAGGAGGCAGGAGTTTCATTGCTAAAACCTGGAAAGTCCCAGGCAAACCGAGACAGGTTAGTCACACTAGAAGGAAGCCTCAGCTGTGTGCAGTTGCCTCTGTCCTCCAGCCCCACCACGCACAGGTTGGCATCCAGTCTCTTCCCGTGGAGTGATATAGCCTCTGTCACATACTAGGCTTGAGTCGTTACATAACCTCTCCAGGACTTAGTTTGCTTATACCTAAAATGAGGTTAATCATAGCTACCACATGGGGTTTATAATGTTTGCATGAGAAGACACAAACGTGCCTAGCGAAGCGTCTGGCACAAAATAATCAATTAAATGTTAGCAAACTTATTTACTACTCATTGATTCAGCTCATTTAACAAATTTGTATGCGTACCATGTGCCAGGCACTGCTGTAGACCTAAAAAACAAAGACAAAAATTCTGCCCTGGTGAAGGGGGCTAGACAAGCAATAAATGAATACATTCTATTATATATAAGGAGATAAGACCCTTGGAGGGAACAATTAAGCATGGTGAGGGGGGTGGGGAGTCCTGGGGCAGAGAAGGCATAATGGTAAATGCAATGGGCAGGGTAGGCTTCACTAAGAAGGTGACTTTTGTACAATGAAGATTAAGGAAAAAATAAATTTTAGAGATTAGAACATTCATAAATCAAACACACACACACAAAGGAAGGTGACTTTTGTACAGAGACCTGAAGGAGATGAGAGAATGAACGCTACCTAGTGAAAACAAATCTGAGCGAAGAGAACAGGCACCCCAAAATAGACGCATGTCTAGTGCATTCAGAGACTGGTAGGAAGGCTAGCTTGGTTGGGGCTTTGGTGACCAAGGGAAAAATTGTAGGAGTTAAGGATTGAGGGGACTGGGAACTCCTGAGGGGCCTTTGTAGTGATCGTAAAGGCTTCAGTGTCCAGTTTCACTCCAAGTAAAAGCCACCAGAGGATTCTTGGTGGATAAGAGTCATGACTTGGGTTTGAAGGATATCATTCCGGCTACTCTGTTGAAGACAGTGAAAACAGAAAAGCAAGGAGACCAGTTAGAAGACAGTTGTTAACAATCCAGGCAAGAGATGATAGACCAGGCTGGTAGCAGAGGAAAAGGAGAAATGAGTCCTCACTAAATGGATATAGTGGATGAGAGAGAGAGAGAAAGGAGTCATAAAGATGATTACAAGGGGTTAATATGAGAACTGAGAAGGGCAGGGCTACCTCAGATGGGGTGCTTTCAGCTACACTTTGCTGTGGTGATAGTTGCTGTTGTGGTTGTTGACCTTTATTAAGCTATTGTGATGTTCCTTGTGATGATCTCTGATACCAGATGTCAGGGTTTGCCTTCATAGTCATGTACTCTCCCTCTTGATAAGAAGGAAATCGCCTCTTCTCCCCTTTGGACTGTGAATCCTGCTTCTTTGAGGAGCATCCCAAGTACATTGGCAAGTTCTCAGAACTGCTGTTCCCTCCAGCAAACCTGGCCCTCCAGCACAGAAGTCCCCACTTGGCACAGCCTTGCTGTCTAGGGTCCCTGGGGAGAAAGAACCAGCAAGGCCCTGCCCCCTGGCAACTCTGCCTCTGCCTGCCCGGGGATCAAGATGCCCTGCCCAGGAGCCAGGAACACTCCTTTCCCAGGCCCTTGCTCTCCTTTCCTGCAGGGAAGCTGACTTCTTCTCAGAGCGATAGAGGCAGAAGCTTCCAGGAAGCTGCCCGACTTGCTTCTTTTCTTTCCTTTTTTGTTTTATTTTTCAAAGATTTCATTTATTTAATTTTAGAGGGGAGGGGAGGGAGAAAGAGAGGAAGAGAAACATCAATGTGAAACATCAGTGTGTGGTTGTCTCTTGCACATACCCCCTACTGGGGACCTGGCCCGCAGCCCAGGCATATTCCCTGACTAGGAATTGAACCAGCAACCCTTTGGGTCACAGGCCAGCACTCAATCCACTTAGCCACACCAGCCAGGGAATTTCTTTTTAATAAAGAGAGACCATTATTTTTATTTTTAAGATTATATTAGTTTTTACAGAGACAGGAAGGGAGGGACAGAGAGAGGGAAAGAAACATTGATGTATGAAAGACACTGATCATTGATCAGTTGCCTCTCACATGCCGCCAACTGGGGACCTGGCCCACAACTCAGGCATGTGCCCTGACTGGTAGTCAAACTGGCAACCTTTCAGTTTGCAGGCACACTCAGTTCACCGAGCCAGTCAGTCCACTGAGCCACACCAGCCAGGTCTCAACTTGCTTCTAATGCTTTGGCCAAACCCTGCCCCCCTGAGAAGCTCAGCTGTGCCACTCATCTGGGGGCCAGGGTAGTGCAGATGGGCACTAGGGGGTAGGAGGCTGGGGATGTGAACATCAGGCACCACTTCCCCCACCAGCTCTGTTTTACTCTCCTGTACACTACCAAGTGGAGTGTTCACCAATCCCAGACACTCCTCACTTTACCTCACTTTATGTCCACACAGGATCCCAGACACATGAGTATCTTATGTACCTCTCCTGGTGGGGTTTTTTTTTAGGGTAGGGAAGTGGAGGCTTCCCAGACCCTGTAAACACTCCCTTGCGTACTTATTTTCCCATTTTCAAAATCTTTTTTTTTTTTTTTGGTCTGAATGCCTTCCTTAAATCTAACCCACATCTTGCCTGTTGCTATTTAAGATAACACTTTTGGGTCCTATTCAGTGGAGATGGAGAATAGGTATCTGTCCTCATGCTGCACCCCCAGCCTCCTGCAGTGGAATACCCTGCATGTTGACTGAAGTCTAAAGGAGTCAGTCCTCTGGCATAAGTGTCTCCATTTTCTCCTTGCAGCATCCTGTCATCTCCTTTTCTTTGCACTCTTTGAAGCTCCAGTGTCTGATTCTAACCCTCCTCATCTGCTGACCTTTTTTCATGAAGAAAAGGTTGCCCTATCCTGCCTGTGGGGAAACTATCAAACAGTGCAGCCAATAACTTCAAGTGCCGAGAAGGGGCTAATTTGCTGTTGTGTGTAAACAACTTGAAAAAAAGCATGCCCTGGCTGGTGTGGCTCAGTGGATTGAGTGCCGGCCTGTGAACCAAAGGATCATTGGTTCGATTCCCAGTCAGGACACATACCTGGGGCCACCCATTAGCGTCTCTCTCCCTCTCTTTCTCCCACCCTTCCCCTCTCTCTAAAAATAAACAAATAAAATCTTTTTTAAAAAATGTCTTTTTTAAAAAATGACAGCAATTAAAATTTAGAATTTCCCTACTTCCCTTAAAGTGTAAACCCCTGGAACCCAGAACTGGTCCGGAAAGGTACTGGGAATATTTCTGTTTTGCCTCTGGGAACATGGCTAGGACATGTGTGCACGTTTACAGGTATGTAAGCATATGTGTGTTAGTGGAAGCATGCTAGTAATCAAGGACAGTGTACCATCCAACTTTGTGGCTCCACCCTTATTTTGTTCTCTTTTTATTCAACCTGAATAGTAGCACTTCTCTTAATACCTAGCATTTCTCTAAGTACATAGTACTTAATAGAATAGTAGCATCTCTTAGTAGTGTGTGTTTGTTCCTGTGTGTGTGTGACAGAAAGTGAGGGCTATGTATACTCAAAGCGGGTGCCCAGAGTTGGAGCCTCAGAGTCCCTTTTCTGTTGATCTCCTAAAGCTGCTGGAACTTGGAATCAGGACAACTGGTGGGGCTGTGTCTCCTCGCCTTCTAGTGCATGACCTTGAGCAGAGAGCTTGTTCTTTCTGGCTGTTGAGCGTGAGTCAGTGGGCAGACTCTCATTTTAAATCATCACCAGCATTTCCATGTTAATGTGAGAGAAAAGGACTGTGAGTCCCAGGAAACATCTCAATATTTGTGTTCTTATAACTGGAGCCTGGTGCATACCCAATGATCAAGAGATGAAGTTTTAGGTCTAGGTTAGCTTTCCCTGGACACTAAGAAGAGTGAGTGGCCTCTGTGCCCAACTTGTCTCAGTTTGCCCATTTTTAGACTAAAAGTTTCATACCCTCTGAGTCCTGGGCCAATTGAGGTAGTAGGTCACCCTACTGGATCTCATACTTGGGCAGAGCAGAAAGCAAGGGGTCTTTTTTTTAAGGGGTCTTTTCACTGTCTTCCTCTATCATTCTCTTCCCCATTTTTCTCACTCGTTCTTCCCACTCCTCTCTCCTTTTCAGGTCTCTCTGGGAACCCAGCAGATCTGGAAAGACGTAAACAAGTGTTTGGAATGAACTTAATCCCCCCTAAAAAGCCCAAGACCTTCTTAGAATTAGTGTGGGAAGCCCTTCAAGATGTCACGCTCATCATCCTGGAGATCGCAGCCATCATCTCCCTGGTTCTGTCCTTCTATCGGCCTCCTGGTGAAGAAAATGAACGTGAGTGTCTTGAATAGCCCAGCAGGACTCTGATCTGGTTCTTTCCACCAGCACCAAAAAGCACATTGTGGTGGAGGTTGACTTTATAGCAGGAAAGTTTTCCCCCATTACTCAGGGTGGGTCTCTAAAGGAAACCAACAAGTAGCTAAGAACGGATTCTTTTAATCCATTCTGATTCCAGGACGTTTTTCCCTTTCTCCCATCAAATCCTTACTCAGAATGTCACAAACCTTTACCCTCCCCCAACCAACAAAACCCAGCTTCTCAAGGTGCCCAACACTAATATTAATGGCATTTGTGGATGTTGAGAATCATAAATTCTGTACATGTGGCTTGCCTACAGTTTGCATTGACATGTTTTGTGCTGTTTGGTCATTTGCTTCTTTGGGGTTAACATAAATAATTACATGGTGATGAGATGATGCCCAATCCTGCTGTCCTCCAGTATCCTCAGAGGGTAGCTCTTTTACCCAAAAGTTTTATTTTTTACTATTCTTTTTCTCTGACTTGCCATTTTGGGGGATTGCAGAAGCACTACCCCCAATTTCATTGTCAGCAAAAGTCCCTTTCTTCCCTTTCCCTGGGCTAGAGTGTGGTCTGCCTGTAAGTAGCCCAGAAGATGAAGGGGAGTCAGAAGCCGGCTGGATTGAGGGGGCAGCCATTCTGTTCTCGGTGATCATCGTGGTGCTGGTGACGGCCTTCAATGATTGGAGCAAAGAAAAGCAGTTCCGAGGGCTGCAGAACCGGATTGAAAAGGAACAGAAATTCTCCATTATTCGAAATGGTCACATCATCCAGCTCCCTGTGGCTGAAATCGTGGTTGGTGATATCGCCCAAATAAAATATGGTGAGAGCTCTGGGTTTCTCTTACACTTGTCACCCTCCCTACTTAAGGGCCAGGTCCTTTGGCTCAAGGGGGCTAAGAATTGCTAAGGATCCAAAAAGAGATGATCGCTAATTGTGTTAGCCTCTAAGTTAGTGTTTAAAGAGGTTGTGTGAAGAAATTCAAAGAAAGAAAGAACTGAAACTCTCCCAAAAGATTTTCAGACTTGTGTGTCTTCAGGTTAAAAGTATATACTATTCGGGCTACGGGATGCTGTTTGGGGGATCAATAATTGCCTGAAATCATAAAACCTAGAAAGTAGTCTTGTTCCAGGTAGTCAGAGCTGAAGTTGTCTTTCAAAGGCTCTCTAACTATTGCCTCTAGCTGTGTGTGCAGATGGGGTTCTGAGATGGGATTGGATGGTTCCCCCCTCCTCCAGGATCTTATCCCCCCTCTTTCCCTCTTGCCCCTTCCCCTCTGTGCACTAGGTGACCTGCTGCCTGCAGATGGGATCCTGATCCAGGGGAATGATCTCAAGATTGACGAGAGCTCTCTGACTGGGGAATCGGACCATGTCAAGAAGTCCCTGGAGAGAGACCCCATGTTGCTCTCAGGTATGGCTTTCAGCCACCTCCGTTTCCATTCTGCCTCCTCCCACAAGCCAGGTCACAGAGACCTGATCCAGACCTGCTGTCTCTCCCGGCCCTGCTGCATCTCCTTCCCCTGGGTTCAGCTGGAGCAATGGCATATTAGTAGGTTAAGTACAAGGATGTAAGATAACCTAAAAGAAGTTCTTTATGAAGCAAGTGCTGTAGGGGACTTGGAAGGGCTGTGCTGGAAGGGGGTGGGTGGTGGGAGTAGGAGCCGTGCCCTAAAGTAGACACATTTATCTCCTTTTCCTCCAATTTACTTGTTCTATTTTAAATGGTCCTGTTGACCTTTTTCTTCTATCTGCTGAGTGTATCATTATCCACAGGGGTGGAAGGAAGCCTCTGTTTTACATCAGAGCATGGCGAGGTGTGATGTTCACATCCCTGTGAACAACACTCCTCTCATCCCCTCCTTTCTCATACAGGGACCCATGTCATGGAAGGCTCTGGCCGGATGCTGGTGACTGCTGTGGGTGTCAACTCCCAGACTGGGATCATCTTTACTCTTTTGGGGGCCAGTGAGGGAGAAGAGGAGGAGAAGAAGAAGAAAGGTAAGGGGTATTTGGAGTGAGATTCTCTTCCCACCTGTCCCCATGGACACACTGGGAAACCAGGGAGCGGATCTGGATGAAAGACTGCTGGATGAAGTGTGCACATATCCACGCCCCTTGCCGAGATAACGATGTCACCCTGGGTCTCCAGCATTCTCTGATGAAAACCAGATTCTGGCTCTAGACTCCCAAATCAGGTTGCATTTGAGCCTCCATCCCTGTGCCTGCCGGTGGGTTGTAAAGAGGTGAGTTATAAAGTGAGCTGGCTAGACCCTCGGGCCACAGATGCCCTCTGTGCAGTCCTCCGATCCCATCCCTTTCTTCCTCAAACATGTTGGGGGGGGTGGGGCTGGGCCAAATGAACCATGAAGGTCAAGGGAAAACTGGCCAGGAGATGAAACTGGATTCCTGCTGGAACCACGGGCTGTCAGTGGAAGAGAGACCAGCAAGGAGAATGAGCAAAACAGGTGAAGTCTACTGTGGAGTTAGTCCTGTCTTGGCCATTCACTTGTTCCTAAAGGAAGAAAAAAACAGAAGGTAAATAAGAAAAAGACAGTACAGCCAAATGTACAACTTTTGGTAAGCATTCCTTCTTTCTTTGAAGGAAAGAAGGACTTACCACTTGGATGGAGGACTATCTTGGGCTGTTTAGTGCAGGGCAGTTTTTGAAAAGGAAACAGAACACACTCCCTCAGGAACTAGACTGTTTGTCTCTGCAGCTACCTGCAGCTGAATGAGGAAGAGGCTGGCCTGGTGCTGGCAAACTGACATGGAGACACCCTGCAGGACCTTTGCCGTTAGGCAGAAATGGTTCAAACCTCTTGCTTCCTAACCCCTACCCCATTCCTCCAGGTGAGGTAACTCACATCAGTAGCAGCCATGTTCTAGGAGAAGGCAGCTCAGGTGCGGATGTGCACTTACCTGCATGAGCGCCTGCTCCAGTCCCATGGCTTCCTAAGACCCCCTAGTGAGTGAGGAGGGATATAAGCAGAGATGTGAGCTTGCTTCACATTCCCTTCCCTGCAGCTCAGCCCCTTTGCTGTTGCCCTTTTGGGCTCTGAGCAGGACCAACAAACTGGATATCGGATCTCTTAATAGTCACTTTGGGTCTCCACCCCACTTTTTTCTTTCTTGTTCAAACAGGTAAAAAACAAGGAGTCCCTGAAAATCGCAACAAAGGTAACCTGTCCACCCACTCATTTACCATCTCTACCTGACTACACTCTAACCAGACTTTTCCAGGCCATCTGCCTTCTCCCTTTTCCTCACCATAAATCTGTTACCTGCTGTTGTGGCCCTGATGCCTCATCCTGAGGAAGGTGCAGAGATTTGGGGGTGGTCTCAAGGTTCCAGTCCAAATCTAAGACAGGACAACAGCACCCTCTGCTGTTGGCTCGAGGTTCCTCATGTCAGGGTTTTTCAGGCAAGTGTGGGATTGGTCTCTTCTTCCCAGGGTGCTGACCTCTTTCGCCTCATTGCCCTAGGCCAGATTTAAACACCAATGGTCATCAGCTTCTGGGTTGGAAGACTTCAGGATCCCCTGGTGGAGGTCATTGGGGTAGGCAGTCCCTGCACCCTCCTCTTGCTAGCTTCCTCATCGGTGTTCTCTTCTGGTCTGGAATCCTTCTCTGCTAGTCTTGGGTGCTTGGAGAGAGCCTTTTATCTGTGCCTCTCTTCCCACCTCTTCCTTTGTTCTTGCCACAGTCTGTTCTTTTCCCCCTGATCTGATGTGTGTTTCTTTTTCGGTGGCTGTGCTGACATCCCGTCCCTGTCTTGTTTGTGAGTCTGATAGCAGACACAGTACCTCAGGAAGGGCATCCTAAGCAAAGGGGCCAAGCCCAAGCTCTGCAGCAATGAGGCTGGCGAGGGGAGGGAACCAGAGAGAACCGCTGTCCTCAGACAGCTCCTGGAAATTTGTTTCCTCTGTCACCCACATCATAGTAGTCTTGAAAAATAAAGTCATCACATCAGAGAACCAGGGCTGCACAGAAATAATTCTTTAATTTTAGGTCTCTTTAACTTCTTTTAAAAAGAGAAATGGATTTATATGTCTGTCTTTGTCCATTTTTCTCTTATTCCCGGGATCCCTCACAGCAGCTTCTTCCCTCTCCCCCAGAAGACTAACTCCAGGTCCCACTCTGTACCGCCCTACCTTTGTCACGGATTTCCATCCCCTGTTGTTCAACTGATATAAGAAGGAACTGGAAAACACCCTGTGTTTGGGGTCTGTGTTTCTTCCCTGGCAGTCTATACATAGAGAGAGATGAACCTTTGAACAGAGTAGACTAGGACCATTTTGCTCTAGAAACATCTGCCAGCCTTCTCCTTCAGCCCTTTTCTGTAATAAAGGTTCACTATTGTAAGCACTAAATTCCAGGAAGGATGGTTGTTGGTAATAGTGATTATGGCATGACTAATCCTCTTTAGAATAAACCTGTCTTGGGGCTCTGAGCTGGCACCAGGAAGCTGCACCATCTGAGGAAATCCATACCTAGAAGCACCCTCATTTTATCTCCAGTTGATAGAATATCATCCCATGGGCCCTAATAGAGGGTCGAAGGCAAGCACCCTATCTGGCATGGGGTGAGAGTGGTCAGGACTGATGTCAGGGGTCCAAGGTGAATCCAGGAAGAAGATAGAATGGTGTTTTGGTTTCCTCCTGTCCACTGCTCAGTGCTACTACCTGGCCTGTTCACCCATCCTATTTGTGTGTACACCCTAGCAAAGACTCAGGATGGAGTGGCGCTGGAAATCCAGCCACTCAACAGCCAGGAGGGGATCGACAATGAGGAAAAGGAGAAAAAAGTGGCCAAGCTACCCAAGAAGGAGAAGTCGGTGCTACAGGGGAAGCTGACACGCTTGGCTGTTCAGATTGGGAAAGCTGGTGAGTAAGGTGGAACCTTCTGGTTGTCGTGGTTATCAAGGCTGTCCCAGATTCCTTTCTCCACACCACCCAGGTCTGACGGAGGAAGCTCAGACTTCTTAGTGGCTAGTTCAGTCTAGGAAGCCAGTTCTGCCTCTGCCACCTGTTGGCCACTCCCTAGACTTTCAGAAAGAAGTGTTTTCCTGTATGTAAGAGTTAAAGGCCTTGAGGTCTCTTTCATCCAAACAAATGGGAAGTTAAGAACTTATATCACATGGGAAATTTACATTACCAAAAAAGGAGACCTTACCTATCACATGTATGGGCTTGTAAATTCCTTAAGGGCAGAGAAGGCTGCTATTTTTCGGAGGTAGTTCCCTAGCAGAGTAGTAGCATCAGTCCAGGCACAGAGCTGTAAATTCAAAATAAGGACTAGAGAGAAAAGGGAGACAGTGACTACAAATGCTGTTTTCAAAAGAGAGGTTATTAAAAGCACTGGTGTATCATGGGAGGAAGTGGCTTCTCCATCACTTGCTGCCACATCCTCTGTTGTCTACATTCTTTCAGTGGTGGTGTGGGGTGAGGGTTAGGAGGAGGGAACAAAAGGAAGATTGCTGAAGGCAGCAGACATATCCATCTAGATACATTCTTGTGCCACTATTTAATTATTGGGTTGGCAAAAAAGTTCTTTTGTTTTTTTCTAAAAGTGGCTCTAGTAACGTTTACGACAAGTAAGCACTTTAACTTCATTCGAAACAATTTTGTTAGATTGTATTGTGACAGCTGTCATATCAGAGTGCATTTAAACACTTATCAAAATTGCTGAATTTTTATGTAGCCATTTTAATATTAAAGATGGAAGGAAATATGCAATATTTTTGGCATATTATGCTTTATTAATTCAAGAAAGGTAAAAAAGCACAACTGGAACACAAAGATTTCTGCAGCGTATGGAGAAGGTGCTGTGACTGATCGAATGTGCCAAAAGCGGTTTGGGAAGTTCTGTGCCAGAGATTCATCTGTGGACAGTGCTCCACGCTCCGGTAGTCAGTTGAAGTTGATAGCGATCAAATCAAGACATTAATTGAGGACAGGCAATGTTATACCATACAGGAGATAGCCGACACACTCAAAATATCCAAATCAATAAAGTTGGTAAAATGAAAAATATGTTTTTTATTTTACGGAAAAAATTATACAGGCTTCTTGGCTAACCCAATACTTCCTGGCTCCGCCCTTCTGTTCACTACAATCCTAGTCTAGCCCAGTACATCTCTGTATAGAGCTCACCAACTATAGAACTCTTGTTAAAGCACAGTGTCTGATTCAGGAGTTCTGGGGCAGGGCCTGAAAGCCTGCGCTTCTAACAAGCCCCAGGTGAGGCCAGAACCGCTGACCCACTAAGCACCCACTGAGTGGCTAGAATTTGTGCTATCCACTACCATAGCCCCTAACTATGTTTAGCTGTTTCTATTTAAAGTAAAATTAAATACAATTAAACATTCAGTTCTTCAGTTCACATTAGCCTTATTTTGAGTAGTCAATGATGACATGTGGCTAGTGGCTACCATACTAGACAGTGTAAATAGAGACCATGTTAAGCATCATAGGGAGTTGTTAAGACAATGTTTGTCTAGCCTATTCATTTGGTTTCTTTACCCAGCTAATTTTGATGACTGTGAAATCTTTTGAATATAAACTATACATGGATAAGATGAACTGCAGGTGTGGGATCAAGTTATTGAGCCTGGCACACAGGTTTGAAACATTAAATAGATCCCACCTAGTCCCTCCTATTGTCCTCCTAATCCTGTGTTGTTCTGTAAGAAGCACTAGCCTCCTGATGGTTTGTCTCCTCTGTTGTTTTATTTTACATTTTAAGCTAGCCCAGGACTAAGGTGAGGCAAATAAGGTGCCTTGTGCCACCCTCAGAGTGATGCTTCTTTCAGTTATGTACCCCAGGGACCTTGTTTGCCTCACCTTAGCCCTGAGCCTGGTGAAGCAAAGTGCAAACAAATCCTCTCTTATGATTCTCATTGGTCACCGCTCACCTTGCTCCTGAGAAAAGAGAAGACCCAAACCAGACTGTGGTTTAACCAGAGCTCTTCCCTGATATTGTGCCACAGATATAGGTACCTCTGCCCAGGTACTGATCCCAGGGCAATTGGAGCCCCTAGACCAGTTGTTTACAGACCTTGAGAAGATTCTTCCATTTACCTTAGTGTATAGGTTGACCAGCTGGCCCAGTTTGCTAGGGACTTTATTAATTTTACAACTGAAAGTTTTAAGGGGGGTTCTTTTCCTCCTGAGTTCTCCCACATGCCAGGAAACTGCTCAGTCTGCAAACCAGGATGGTTGATCCCCCTACCAGTGTGCCATACGAAAAACTTCTCTGTGCCTTCAGTTCCTCAGAAAAGGGGCTAATAATAACTACTCTTACAGGGTTCTTGCGAGGATTATTAACTAATTAGTTTTTGTAAAGTGCTTGCCTGGCCCAGGAAGCACTATATAAATATGTGCTATTATTGTTACCTTTTGTCTATGGAATGTCAGGAGAAAGGTTAAGAGGCACTATCCTGGGCATTTGTCTTGTAGGTGCTATGCTAACACCATAAGGCCATTGCTATGCATAAGCTGCAAGTTGCCTGGCATTCATTCACAGGCTTCTATAGGAGAAGTCCACATTGATAAACTACTAGGAAACAGGCAAATATGGTCATTGCATTGTGAACTATGGAAAGAGGATAGGTCTGAAATACAATCGTAGAATGCTATTGCAGAACACTAGACCAGCCAGCCCCCTTATTTTTGCATGAGGAAACAGGTCTGGAGAGGGTCAAAAATTAGTAAGTAGTCCAAAGCCACAAGTCAACTTAGTGCAGTGCTAAAACTAGAACCTGTGTCTTTTCCCCAACACTATCATGTGCAAGCAACAAAGAATGGGTAGGGGATATTAGCATGACTTCCTGGAGGTAGCGGTTTTAAAAATTGGTGGCAAAGGTGGCAACTTACACTGATCTGTCTCTGGCTGGGGACATAGGAGTGCCCTAGAACCAGGGTTCATGTGATTTGTTTCCTGTTCAGGCCTGATCATGTCTGCTATCACCGTTCTCATCCTGATTCTGTACTTTGTGATTGACAACTTCGTGATAAAGCGTAAACCATGGCTAGCTGAGTGCACCCCCATCTACATCCAGTACTTTGTCAAGTTCTTCATCATCGGTATCACTGTACTGGTGGTGGCTGTGCCAGAGGGGCTGCCACTGGCTGTCACCATTTCACTGGCCTACTCTGTGAAGGTAAGACTAGAACAATACTTTCTCCTCCTTTAGGACAGAGGTGGGATGGGGGAGTGCCATGAAGCTTTTAATGAAAGGACAGGCTGTCTATCCTCTGTGGACTCTGGATGGCACCTCATAAGAGCACAGATCCCTGGCCCTGTGGAAGGACCATTGTGATAGTTGCATCAGGGTTTAAATGACCCAGTAGAAGAATGTAAAGAGGATTCACAAGAATAGTATCCTGCATTTTTGTGTGGGACAAGAGATTGAAATGTGGAGAGAGGTTGGCTAGGAAATGGTCTTTGACCTATATTGGGGGAACTCAGTTGGTCCCCTCTCAAGTCTTTTGTTTTGTCCTCTATAGAAAATGATGAAAGACAATAACCTGGTACGGCACCTGGACGCTTGTGAGACAATGGGCAATGCCACAGCCATTTGCTCTGACAAGACAGGCACATTGACCATGAACCGCATGACTGTGGTACAAGCTTATATTGGAGATACCCATTACCATCAGCTCCCAAGTCCCGATGCCCTTGTGCCCACAGTCCTGGACCTTATTGTCAATGGCATTTCTATCAACAGTGCCTATACCTCCAAGATCCTGGTAAGCTCTTCCTTTACCTGGACACTTAGAATGGGCAGTTAGAGGGAACATTAATGCTCTCTGAGACAGTGCATCTTTTTTTGTTCATTCTGCTTGAACTGCCATCCCACATTACATTTCCCACTCTTAAGTGGACATGTTTAGGCTGAAACTAGGTAATAATCTAAGGGAGGGGTCTGGGGGGTGACAGTAGGAACCTATGGCTGTGAAACTACCCTCCAACTACCACATAAAGGCAGCTATCTCCAGGGAGAGAACTCATGCTGATAGCACCATTGGGCTTATTAGGAGTAAAAAAGAACTCACTTTCCAGAAACTGGAGAGGTTATTAGAATAAGATCTGCTTAGGGTGAGACACCAGCACCAATCCCAGGGCAAACTAAAAACCCTGAAAGCCCTGGATGGCTCAGGGACCACCATTGACCACTGTCTGCCTACCCTGAAAAAAAACAAATGCCATCCTCCCTGTGCATCCCCACCCCAGGCTCTGTGTATGTATGTGAGAGTTTTAAGGGGAATTCTTTCCTTCCGGAGTTCGCTCCCTACCTAGGAAAAGCATCTTATTCAATATTGTCTTGTCTGTTTTTCTCTCAGCCTCCAGAGAAGGAGGGAGGCCTGCCACGGCAGGTGGGCAACAAGACAGAGTGTGCCCTGTTGGGCTTTGTCACAGACCTGAAGCAGGACTACCATGCAGTGCGCAGTGAGGTGCCGGAGGAGAAGCTCTATAAGGTGTACACCTTCAACTCGGTGCGCAAGTCCATGAGCACAGTCATCCAGAAGCCCAGTGGTGGCTACCGCATGTACAGCAAGGGCGCCTCTGAGATCATTTTGCGCAAGTGAGCACTCCTTCCACCCTCCTTCCCTTCAAGATCCTCCCTCTGGAAAGTCTAGATCATACGCTCTATGCTGGACTCACTGATGCACGAGCCTCCTGGTATCTGAGTGTTTACTTAGGCCAAGCATTGCTTTTAAGTGCATTAGGTGGCTCATTTTATTTAACTCTCAGAGTTCAGTGAGATAGATGCTATTACCACCTCTTTTTTTACAAATGATTTAAAAAGAATACAGTGAGTTAAGTAACTTGCTCAAGGTGATACAGCTAATAGTGGCACAGCCAGAATTCAGACCTATGCCATGCAAACTCCCACTTCCTAATCTGAAAACAGATAGTAACACCCACCCATCCCACAGGGTTACCATAATTAAATGAGTCAATGTATGCAAACACCTTGTACATAGCAAGTACTAGAAATATGAGTTCTCTGTTCCCTTTTCCTTCTTATTCTCAATTCTAATCACAGGGAAGTTGCATAACGTAATCAAAGTGGCTAGACTACCCATGGGTCATTAACAGTTCTACATGGGTAGAACTGTAACAGATCTGTATGTGTATAGGACCAGTAACTGAATTAACCAGTACCTCAGCTTGGCTCTAGCCATCTTCTATCAATAAATACATTCTTGTTGAGCACACCCTATCCACTAAGCACTATGCCAGATACTGGGGACACAATCTACCTACCTGCCACTTGACCTTGGAAAATTGGACCCAGCAGGGTGATGGCTAGAGATTTCTGGCCATGGAACAGTATCTTTAGAAGTAGTGCAGAGCTGCTGGAATGTCTAGAAAAGTCTGTAGGGGGTGGAAGGGAATGCTGCTTTCTGACTGTGCACCTCCCCAGGTGTAATCGAATCCTGGACAAGGAAGGAGAAGCAGTACCATTCAAGAATAAGGACCGAGATGAGATGGTGCACACTGTCATTGAGCCCATGGCCTGTGAGGGACTCCGGACTATCTGCTTAGCTTATCGTGATTTCAATGATGTAGAGCCCCTGTGGGACAATGAGAATGAAATCCTCACTGAACTGACCTGTATCGCAGTGGTGGGCATTGAGGACCCTGTGCGCCCAGAGGTGAGGCTTTGGCTTGGAGAAAGGGTAAGAACACATCAATGGAAGTCTTCCAGCAGCCCCTGACCCACATGCAGGCCCAGTAGGACCTATTAGGAAACTACCAGGAGTCATGGGAACCAGGATATTGGTTCTCCTTCTAGTTGTGACCCACACAAGTTACCTAACTGCTTCTCACAAGGATAGCTGTTTCTGTGCTTCCAGCTTCACAGAACTGCTGCAGATTGCTGCACTGATAGAAGGTACCATTCCCACATTAATGCTGTGTGCAGTGAGAAGCATACATTCCACTGGGCTTATCATCTGGTTCTTAAGAATAGTCAGGAGGCTGACGTAATCATGGCACCAGCTTTGCTTCTAGCTGCCTCCTTTCAATTAACACATTTTTGTGGATTCCCCCACCCCCAGAATAGCCAAACACTCTTCTGGACACTAGAGCCTTAAAAAAGTCCCTGCTTCTAAGAAGTTCAAACAGATGGACTGTTAACTGTCAAGGCCCAAAAGCAAGAAAGGGTGTCAAGTGTTTGGGGAAACTACAGAGAACTGATATGGTTGAAACGTGGGCCAAGGAGGTGGAGACTGGTAAAAACTTCTGTTAGAAAAGAAGGCAGTGGCCAAATCTCAAAAGTTCATATGCGTCCTGCTAAGGAGTCTAGACTATAAGTAGCAAAGTAAGTTTCACACCTGGCTCCTGAAGCCCATTTCCCCTTCAACTCAGGCTACAATGAGGCAAATTCCAATGTGACTGTTATGGGTATGACAGAAGTGAGGTGGCACCGAGCAATGTAAAAATGACCTGTACCCCATGGCACTCTGCTAGGGTGCCTCTCCCACAACAAGGGCACCACTGACCAGGTGCTACTTACCAGTGTCACCACCCCAGCTCCTCCTCTCCTCTTGCCTCACCCTCCACAGGTACCAGAAGCTATCGCCAAATGCAAAAGAGCTGGCATTACTGTTAGAATGGTGACAGGAGACAACATCAACACAGCCCGGGCCATTGCCACCAAGTGTGGCATTGTGACACCTGGGGATGACTTCCTGTGCTTGGAAGGCAAAGAATTCAACCGACTCATCCGCAATGAGAAGGGCGAGGTGGGTCCTGGGTGAGAGGACCAGGGCCTCACTTGACAAAGGAAGGGCTGGGTCTAGTGTAAGTCATCTGAGACAAATGGGGAAAAGGGAGTGGTTTTTAAACTAAAATCTACTCATAGTGAAACGTCCCTTCCACCAATGCTGCTCAGGTGGTAAAACTGAGATCTTTCTTAGCATGATCTTCATTCACAAGCTAGCTTTTGAGACAGTGTCACTAACTTTTCACATCTTTCCGTTTTTGGTTTTTTTTTTTCAGTCATGGGATGGTTTTGTACTGACTTCCCTTGGCCTCGTTTCTCCTGTGTCACTGCCCTGTGACTAGAGGTGGCACAGGTTTGTAAGAGGATGTGGTCTACCTGTAGAGCAGACCAAAGCTTCCTGGTCTATCTAGAAATCAAACCTAAGACCTCAGAAGCATCACTTTATCACCTGAGCCAACAGCTAACCCTGGCTTACCTCCTGGCAAGGGTCTAAGAAATAGGGGATCAGCTCCCAGGTAGGGAACTGGGAGGAGAGAGAACACAAGCAGGGCCTGAATGGTCACCATCAGTGAATCTGCCCTTGAAGACTGAGTCAGCTGCTGCTTCTGCACTGGAGACCAGGCTCACACTCCCCCTGGACCATGGACTATCAGGTCTTCCGGCAGCTTGGAGTGTATGGAAAAGGAAGGTTTTCCTGGATGGCTGTTCTGAGCTTGACTGACCCGGGTATGGTCTGGTATTGGCAGGTAGAGCAAGAAAAGCTGGACAAGATTTGGCCTAAGCTTCGAGTCCTGGCGCGATCTTCCCCTACTGACAAGCATACACTGGTGAAAGGTGAGGTCAGCTCCTGATTAGGTGACTGTGGTAGAGGAAGACAGGCTGTGGCAGGGACAGATAAAAAATTTCAGCCAAAGCAACTTTCCTATCCTGAATAGGGGGGTTCTAGGAGAACTCTCTGGCTCATGGGGAGAATATGCAGTTGAGCAGACAGCTGAGACCCTGGGGAAGTTGTATAGTAAAGTCGTTTTTAAACATTATCATACAGGTTGGGGCAAAAATAGGTTTACAGTTATTCATATGGAAAACAATACAATAATTAATAAATAATAATACAAAAATAAACTGTTTTGTCTACTCACAATTGTGAACCTACTTTTGCTCCACCCTGTGTCTTGTTTGCCAGTGATACTATGAACTATACAGGGCAGGTTAAACTATTTTCATTTTGCAAATGAGGACATCTGAGGCTGAAAAGACAAGTGACATGTCCAAATTGCCCACCTGGTAAGTAGAAGTGGTATAGTTTAACCCCAGATCTCTGCCTTCGAGTCATTTGGTGCTTTTGTACCACATAATAGCTGTCTCAGGGCACCAGGCAGACTTTCTTTACTCAGAATACTACCCATAAAACAAGGCACTGCCCTTGGAGAATAGTACAGAACTTCCAGCATAGGGGGAAAGAAGGCAATAGGAAGGCAGGTGATGACAGGGATCAGGGAAGAAGACTGGGGTTTGCCAAATAGCCTCAAGTGGCATGTATGGACTGACTGATGTGTGTCTGTTTGTCCCAGGCATCATTGATAGCACTGTTGGGGAGCAGCGCCAGGTGGTGGCTGTCACTGGTGATGGCACAAATGATGGGCCGGCCCTGAAGAAAGCGGATGTCGGTTTTGCCATGGTAAGCCTCTCGGCACAGTGTCTCTGTCCGACTGGAAGCTGCCTTCTCCATCAGGAAGCCAGACTGGCTTCCTGAACCTTCACATCCCAAGTTGTACTCTTTTCTCTGACTCCATCTCTCCTACCTACCTAGTCAGTGCTAATGTGTATAAATGGGGAACCATCAAGTATGAAAAACAGACAGCACAGGCAGGGGAATCAGGAAGTATCATTACCCAGGAAAGCAAGACCAACTTAAATTTGCCCGTGAACATGGTAATGTTATCTACCTAGGCACACTGTAGGCAATTCATGTTCCATTGGGAATACGTACTCTGTGGCCAGCACTGTTCATCACTCTGCTTCTTATTTTCAAGGCTTGGAACATCAGAATCACTTGGAAAGTTCACTTAAAGTCACATATTCCAAGGTTCCACAGTTGGCTACCTTGATTCAGTGATGTCTGGGGTGGGTCCCAGAAATATTTGGGTCTTAACAGGCACACTTGTTGATTCTGATGTTCAGGGACATGTAGAAGCCCCCAGATTACAAAGTACATCTTTACCCTCAAGTAGTTTATGACTATAAGCCTCCCCAATATATTGAACTGTTCGTGATTTTTAAGCAGTGGAGATTCAAGAAGTAATCTGTCTTTAGGGTGCTCTGTTTAACAACCAAAAAAAAAAAAAAACCAACCAGTGTTTATGCTAGGAAATTTCAAGAATATAGAAAAGTAGAAAGAAGTTTAATCAATCCATATGTACCTGTCACCCAGCATCAGCTATCAACATTTGGCTACTCTCGTTTCACTGCCCCTTCACTCCCTCCGCCCCCCACCACTGCTGCATTTCCTCCATCTCAGGCTGAATTATTCTGAAACAAATCATGTCACTTCATCCAAAAAAAATGTCAGTATGTGTCTCAGAAAGTTAAATATGTATCAATAAAATATATTTAAAAGAATTTTCATACTTCATGTCATAAAAAATTGCTTCCTTAGTATCATCAAACATCGAATCAGTTCACATATCCTCAGTTGCTTCGTAAATGTGGTTTTTAATAATTTGTCCAAATAAGATCCATACAGTACAACTATTTAATATGTTTCTTAAATATCTTTATCTACAGCAGTAATTCTTAAAGTATACTCTTCCTTCCAGCTATACTTGGAAACCTATAGAAATACAGACTCTTGGGCCCCACCTCAGATCTGGTGAATCAGAAAGCTTAGAGTTGGGCCCAGCAGTCTGTTTCAATAGGACCTCTGTGATTCTGATATGTTTGAGAACCTCTGATCCCATAGGGTCCCTGTGTTGAGTCCCCAAGACCACCCTTGACATTTGTGGGCTCACTAGAAGGACTCATGGGATCCATAGAGTATAGGTGTACTCATGGCTAAAGTTGAGTACATTGGTACAGTAAGGGTATAATAAGGGGGAAATTTACCGGCACAGCTTGGAGGGATCCACATGCAGGCCTCTTTATGTTCTCTCCCATGGTAAGGGGTCACACAGAGCATGCTCTCCCCCAGCAACCAAAATGCGGCAACACAGCCCATCAGAGATTTGTTACCCAAGGTATTTACTGGGGTTGCCCATACAGGTCCTTCCTGCCTGGCACATACTGTGATTTTAGATTCCCAGAAGGAAAGCAGGTGTTCAGAAACCATATTGTTTGGGCACAGTCTAGGCACAGTGAACCACGAAAATTATATTTCAGTCAAGTTTTGACTGGGAGCATTCTGTGAACCAAGTTTCCAGATGCCAACCGAACAAACAGACCTTTCTAAGGATAGCAGTCTCAGGCCTGCTATGTTAACTGTTTTCTGCACAGTCCCCTCCCATCTTTTTTTCCTAGCTATTTAGTTTTGAAGGAACCAGATTGTTTGTCTACATAGACTACCTCACAGCATGGGTTTTGTTGATTATAGCTCTGTAGTGTACTTTAACATGTCCTTTTGTTCCTTGAATTTCCTATACACTAGTAATTAGTTGTACAAGCAATCAGCTTCTAGCTCTGTAGGGGCTACAAAATGATGTTCTGGTTTTTGTTTTTGTTTTGTTTTGTTTTACTTATTAACTTGAATATTCTCTAAAAAGAAATGTCCTCTCCCCTCATCAATTCTTTGGTTACTCTGCAGTTCAGTTTCTACATGAAAGGTCAGGTTAAATGCTTGATTCTTTTCCTTTATTCACCAGTTTTCAAAATATTGAGTTGAAAATTCAAAAGGTGACCGATGAATTTTAGATCCTCCAAAGGTGACCGATGAATTTTTTTCTAAATATTATTATGAACTCTGAATTTAAGCATATAAGATACGCTTCAATCCACTGCCCATATTATTGTTTTGATGTTCACATTGAGCCATAATGAGCCTCCTCAACCCTGCTGAGTTCTTTTTTTAAAACTATATTGATTGTGCTATTATCATTGTCCCATTTTTTTCTCCCCTTTATTCCCCTCCGCCCTGCACCTCCCCTCCCACCAACATTCTTCTTAGTTCATGTCCATGGGTCATACATATAAGTTCTTTGGCTTCTCCATTTCCAGTACTATTCTTAACCTCCCCCTGTCTATTTTCTACCTACCATTTATGTTATTCCTTGTACCTTTTCCCTCATCCTCTCCCCTCCCCGCTCCCAATGATAACCCTCCATGTGATCTCTGTATTTGTGATTCTGTTCCTATTCTAGTTGTTTGCTTAGTTTGTTTTTTGTTTTTGTCCTTTAGATTCAGTTGTTGATAGTCATGCTTTGTCATTTTACTATTCATAGTTTTGATGTTCTTTTTTCTTAGATTAAATCCCTTTAACCTTTCATATAATAAGGGCTTAGTGATTATGAACTTTTTTAACTTGACCTTATCTGAGAAGCACTATATCTGCCTTTCCATTCTAAATGATAGCTTTGCTGGATAGAGTCATCTTGAATGTAGGTCCTTGCCTTTCATGACTTGGACTACATCTTTCTAGCTCCTTCTGGCCTGTAAGGTTTCTTTTGAGAAATCAGCTGATAGTCTAATGGGCACTCCTTTATAGGTAACTCTCTCCTTTTGTCTTGCTGCTTTTAAGATTCTTTCCTTATCTTTCATCTTGGGTAATATAATTATGATGTGCCTTGGTGTGTGCTTCCTTGGGTCCAACTTCTTTGGGACTCTCTGAACTTCCTGGACTTCCTGGAAGTCTATTTCTTTTGCCAGATTGGGGAATTTCTCCTTCATTATTTGTTCAGATAAGTTTTACATTTCTTGCTCTTCCTCTTCTTCTTCTGGCACCCATGTGATTCACATGTTGGAACATTTGAAGTTGTCCCGGAGGTTGCTAAGCCTCTCCCCATTTTTTTGAATTTTTGTTTCTACATTATGTTCTGGTTGTATGTTTATTTCTTCTGCTCAGAATTGTTGATTTGAGTCCCAGTTTCTTTCCCTTCACTATTGGTTGTCTGTATATTTTTCTTCATTTCACTTTGCATAGCCTTCACTTTTTCCTCTATTGTTTGACCATACTAAACCATTTCTGTGAGCATCCTGATTACCAGTGTTTTTGAACTCTGCATCTGATAGGTTGGCTATCTCTTCATCACTTAGTTCTTTTTCTGGAGTTTTGATCTGTTCTCTTATTTGGGCCATTTTTCTTTGTCTCAGCACACCTGTTACATAATAAGGGGTAGAGGCTTAGGTGTTCACCAGGACAGGAAAACCAAGGTTGATGCACTGTGGCACTTTATGCGAGGAGGAGTCCAGCCGGCTTTCAGTCACTTCCCCCCTACCTACAAGCAAATTGGGCCTTTCTGATGCTGATTCCTAGGTGGGTGGTTTTGTGTACATTCTAGGACCTTGTGAGTCTCTCCAATGAACTCTATTGTGAGGCTGGGAGTTTCTCCTGCCACTGCAACCCATACAGGTTTTTACAATCAGAGGTTTTAAGGCTTTATTTCCCCACATTGGAACCCTGAGTTGTGCAGTCTGTCTCGCTCCCCAGTTGTTCCTGTCAGTTTATCTGCACACGAATATGGGACCACCGGCCAGCAGCCTTGCCCGTCCCGCTCCTCCACCTTGCGGTGCATCCTGCCTACTCGGCTGTCTGTCTCTGCCCTTCCTATGGGTCTGAATGAATGTTTCTTTTTTAACTCCTTGGTTGTCGGACTTCCATACAGTTTGATTTTCTGGCAGTGCTGGTACTTTTTGTTTTTAAATTTGTTGTTGTCCTTTTTTTGGTTGTACAAGGAGGCAAAGTTTACCTACCTACACCTCCATCTTGGCTGGACCAGAGCCCTGCTAAATTCATTTGATACAAACTCAGCTGTCTCTAATAAGCTTCCTTGGTTTCTTATATGATAAGTTATTCCAGAATCATCATGTATATTTCTTGACCTAGACCTGGAATCATCCATTTCTCAAAGGAGTCTTGGTTCATTTTTGTGAGAAATGGTATTTAGAGATCACAATCTGAATATTGGGATGATCCATTCTACTGAGTAAATCATTGTTCCTAGACCTTATCACTGGTCAAAGCTAGGAAATATGTCTCACATGTTTCTTTTGTGTTTCTGTGTTTTAAAATAAAATACTTTGCCCTGACCAGTGTGGCTCATTTGGTTGGGCATCATCCTGTAAAGTGAAAGGTTGCCAGTTCAACTCCCAATCAGGGCACATGTCTTGGTTGTGGGTTTGGTCCCCAGTCGGGGTGCATGCAGGAGACAGCTGATCAGAGTTTCTCTCTCACATGGATGTTTCTCTCCCTCTCTTTCTTCCTCCCTTCCTCTCTCTCAAAAAAAAAAAACCTGAATAAACCTTTAAAAATAAAATAAAATTCTTCATGAATTCATATTGGTATTTGCAATTCAAATTTAGAGTTCTAGAACTTTAACTTCCTAATTTTAACTTCCCTGATTTAATATTTATATCTCTTAAGCTGAAAATTTTTATTCCTAAGGACATTAACATAATTATTTGCTTCATTTGCTAAAACATATATAATAGTCTCAAAAGAGCAACAATAATACTATTATTCTACTAAAAACAGTTAAAAGGTTTTTTTGTAGTTTTGCCCCACAGGTATATTCTACTAAGGATGTGCCATCAACTTACTGTGTTTTTAAAAAGTCATTTGGGACTTTTCTTTGTGTGTTTGTGCTACCAACTGGTTACACCAGTTCACTTATGTCATGTTGCTTTCCAATTTAGAGATTGCTTTTTAAACTCAATTTTTTTATACTTGTATAAAGTAGTTATATAGCTCTAAAGCCAAATATAGATAACAAGATTCATTCATAGAAATCTAGCTTCTATTCCTATCACCTCCACTCTGTTGCCTCCCTTATAACCCCACAGGTAACTTAGTTCTTTACTTTTTGGTTTACCCTTCTGTTTGCTCCTATAAAATAAATTAAATAAGTAATATATTTATATCTCACCTCTTAGATAAGTGATACTTATCTATAGTCTGTCTATTCTTATCTATACACATACTACGCACTCTTTTTTCCATCTTGTTTTCTTCACTTTACATAACTTGGAGATTATTTCATGGTAGTAGTGTACAGAGATATTCTCCTTTCTTTTCCTCCTTTTTTTACAGTGCACAATACAGCATATTTGAATGTATTGGAGAACTTTTTGATGGGGCAACTGAATCATATAGTCTAACAAATATTTAGTGCTATCTGGATAGGAAAGTAGTACTACGAGGTAAAGAGAAACAGTACTATACTAATGCAAGCCAAATTAACAAATAAGCTCCCTCGTGGGTTACAGAAGCCCAAGACATGGAATAGAAATATGGGCTGAGGATGTTAGGGACAGCTTTGCAAAGCGAGTAGAGCTTAATTGAATAGAACATTACGGATAGGTAGGATTTAAGTAGATGGTAAACAGGATGTTCCAGACTTGGGGAAATGGTGTTAGTAGAAATCTAGGCTCTAAAAGTGAATGAGAGATTCTGGGAATTGTGAATAAACCAATGGGTATTGAGCAGAAAGCTATATGAGAGCAGGTTGGAAAATGAATCCAGGTACACTTATTGAGGGCTCTGACTGCCGGACCAGCAAGTTCACTGTTTCCAAAGCACGGATTTCAACCCCTGACATGTGTATTCAGAATCCTTCAGTAGTTTCCCAGTGGCAAGATTTTGGACAAGGATCATACTTCCGAGATGTGCCACCAGGCTACTTCTCCTACTTAAAGTTGGGGGAAACGAGGACTTAAATGAGATACTGGCAGTGGCAAACAAAGTTTTAAAATTTGGAGGTAGAATCCCTGGCTGGTATAGCTCAGTGGATTGAGTGCGGGCTATGAACCAAAGTGTCGCAGGTTCGATTCCCAGTCAGGGCACATCCCTGGGTTGCAGGCTATGACCCCCAGCAACCCCACATTGGTGTTTCTCTCTCTCTCTCTCTCTCTAAAAATAAATAAAATTAAATCTTAAAAAAAATTTTGGAGGTAGAATAGATAGGACTTATTCCCTATCTTTTAATTTGTTTCTAAGGTTGTAATATAGGAGGGAAGAGAGAAAGGAGTATCAAACATAACTGTAATTTGCAGTCTGGGTTCAAGGGTAAGGTGGTAGCATGAAGCCACAGCCCTCTTTTCTGTAAAATGACAAGGATACATTTTCCCTTCATTTTCTTTGGGAAAGAAAATAACTTAAAATACATGGTTTAGTCTTCAGTATTTGTGTGGTTAGTGAGCCCTCTAGTGTTCAACCTAGTTTGGAAGCTTCTTGGAGGTCAACAGATGGCATCTCAGTTCAGAATGCTGGGAAACTCTACTTTATCCAGTTCCTGTTTCCTTCCCCTTCCTACCTCAGGGTATTGCAGGCACAGATGTGGCCAAGGAGGCATCAGACATCATCCTAACAGATGACAACTTTACCAGCATTGTGAAGGCAGTGATGTGGGGACGAAATGTCTATGACAGCATCTCCAAGTTCCTGCAATTCCAGCTCACGGTCAATGTGGTGGCAGTGATCGTGGCCTTCACCGGAGCCTGCATCACTCAGGTGAAGGGATTGTGCATGGAGAGGGGCTGAAATGGAAGAGATAAGGCAAGGGCTAAGAAATGTGGAGAATGGGCAATAGTATGTCTACTGAGGAGTAAGGACAGTTTCCCAGTGCTCTTGGGGCAGGAGTTAGCTCTACTAGATCCACTCTCTTTATACGTTTAATTTAGCACTGATATCTCCGCCACTGTGATGAGCACTTCACATGTATTACCTCTGTTCCTCAAAAACAACCTTGCAGCATATGTATTATCCTCATTTTACAAGTGAGGAACCCAAGGTTCAAAGAAGTTAAGTATCTTTCTCAAGGTCACTCAGCTAATAAGTGGCCAGTACCAAAATCTAGATGGATAACAGAAACTATGCCATCTTGAGGACAAGGGTGAGGCTGATGAGTGAGGTGAGGTGGTTTCCAAGGAAAGCTGAAAAGACGGGTTCTTCTTCCCACCAGGACTCCCCATTGAAAGCTGTGCAGATGCTGTGGGTTAATCTAATCATGGACACGTTTGCCTCATTGGCCTTGGCCACAGAGCCTCCCACAGAGTCTCTATTAAAGCGTCGTCCCTATGGCCGAAATAAGCCTCTGATCTCACGGACTATGATGAAGAACATCTTGGGCCATGCAGTCTATCAGCTCACAGTCATCTTTTTCCTTGTCTTTGCCGGTGAGCTGAGGGTGGGGATTGGGTCAGGTGGTGGCTGGGGTGCTGAATGGTGATGGGACAGAGAATGGCCAAAGGACAGAAGGCAGGAAGGGAGCAAGCTAAGCTCAAGACTAGTAGGAACAGCAGCTTCACTCCCTGACTATGCCCTCTATTCTCACTGCAGGGCCTGCTATGCTAGGTTATGTACTTCTGTTAAGAATTTCAGTTCTTATTGATTATAAAATGAAAGCTGGGGTGATGTAATAGTGACACTGAGATTCAAACCTATGTCTGCCTGACTCTGATGCACGTAGTTTTACCACCATGCTGCACTACAGGAAAGCACATAGCAATGGAGCAAACTGAGAGGGTCAGATATGTTGAGCTCGGGGCTAACATTTAAAATATTTAATAATTAGCATAGCTCAGGTACTGACCAATTTGAATGGACACCAACCATCAGCGGCCAGTGTGGCCACAACAATGTGTTCTGACTCAACTTGAGTGCTCCTTGAGATCACACTTACCTTCCGGTGCTTCCCCTTTCTCCACCAGGTGAGAAATTCTTTGACATTGATAGTGGGAGGAATGCACCTCTACATTCCCCACCCAGCCAGCACTACACCATTATTTTCAACACTTTTGTGCTGATGCAGCTCTTCAATGAAATCAACTCACGCAAGATCCACGGAGAGAGGAATGTCTTTTCAGGCATCTTACGCAACCTCATCTTTTGTTGTGTGGTTTTGGGCACATTCATCAGCCAGGTGAGATTCTAGCTTGAGCTGGGGTAGGAAGTCTGGTGTGATACAGGTCAGAAACTGGCAGCCAGGGTTTCCTAAGTACCTAGGAAAAGGAGTGAGGAAGTCATGGGGAATCGGGCAGTGGAACTTCTGGGTCAAGTGCTCCAGTACAAGGCACATGTCAGTAGCGAATAAAATGAGACTTGTGGAATCCTCTCATTATCTTTCTAAACACAGAAACCTCTCAAAGTGACCACGAGGAGGGTCACTGTCTTCAGTCCCCTTTCCACACCTCCTGTGAGCAGGCATTACGTGTGCACGCACGTGCTATATGGTCTGTCTTGGGAGAAAATGCTGTGCAGTTCTGAGAGAAAGAGAAGAGATGGGAGGGTCCACATGTGCTTGACAGATGAACCTGGCTTGGGCTCCATAGGGACTGGGGTCAAGAGAGTCGCTGCCCTGGTGGTAAGAGGATTGGGCCCTTCTTTCCTGCCCTGGTCAGAGGTACACTTAAACCTGTGTAGATACAAGAGATTGTGAGCTCACCCTATAACAAATGAGCTCCTGCCTCACCCCTCAGCTGATATCCCTCTTATTGCCCCCATCCTCAGTTCCTCTTCTCCATCACTGTGCCTAATCTTTGTCCCCACTGGCTTTATTCACAAGAAGCCTCTAGCTCCCCCTGCTCCTCCAGCTCTTACATTAATACACTGATTTTCATAGTAACTGTCTGTCTCCCTGTCAGAGTGCTTAAAGACTGTTTGTGTCTGTCTCCCCTTTTCTCCTTCCGGATTTTTTCTTTCTCCTTTCCCAACAAGCACGTCAGGACTTAGACCACAAGGATCCTTGGGTAAGGGGTTATGTGGCTCTGATGGCCTTGGCTGGAGGGCTACCTACCTATTACTCACCTTTCTAACAGCAGGCTACCCCTTCTCTGTTCTAGATTTTCATCGTGGAATTTGGGGGTAAACCCTTCAGTTGTACGAGGCTCACCGTGTCCCAGTGGTTTTGGTGTCTCTTCATTGGTATTGGAGAACTGCTGTGGGGCCAGGTGAGTAACCACTCTGGGGGAAGGTGTGGCCCACCCTCCACCTGCATTCGCACTGCCTGCAGACCTCTTCTCCTTTCCTCCCCACCCCTCAGGTTTTTAAGAGTTTTCCATCATGTAGGATCCCGGGGTAGAATGATCAAAGCCCACCATTTTAGAGGCTTCAGATTTCTTCTCTAATCAGGCCTGGAAGCAAGCAAATCCCTTAGCTTCTCTGAGATGGGAATGGAAATTTTCAATGAAATTTTGCTTAAAATAATAATATAATAATATAATAATAATAATAAAATAAAGATCTTAGAGGTAGAAGAGTTTACAAAGTGTATGGTATGTCTTCATTCTAAAGAAACTGCATTCTGGGCCCTGGCTACTCTGCTGATACAGCTGAGGACTTCCCTGCCTCTTCTGTTTCTCACCACGGCCTTCCCTGGGTTGAATGCCTGACTCTCACCTAAATCCAGGGTCACAAGATCTCTAGAAAAGCAGTATAGCACATGGCTCAGAGCATGGGTGTTGGATTGCCTGCCTGAGTTTGAATTCCAGCTCTCCTTTTTACAAGGTGAACTTCAAACAAGTTTCTTAACCACTCTGTGCCTTAGTCTCCTCAACTTAGGATAACTGGGTCATTATTAATTGTTGTCAATCAGCAAATCAGTTACTGTACAGAAATGACTTAGAACAATATCTGCTACCAGTAAGTACTCAAATAAATGTTAGCTGTTAATATTATAGTAATATCCCAGGTCTGGTAAGAGTTTCACTCCTTTCCCAGTACCACTTTGCAAGTCCCCTGCTTTGCTCTAAGTGACCCTGAAGGTTCCTCCCCAGGGCTACAGACATTCCCCCAGAGACCTGCTAGTTGTTTCTTTTGTACCTCCCTAATTAAGTACTGTCCCACTTACTAACCCAAGTCCCTCCCCCCTGTTCTGCTTGCTGAAGTTTGTTTACCAGTGGGTCCCTAAACCAGCTTACCGTAGGGTGATGCTTGGTTGTTTCATCTACTGTTTGAAACTCTCCTCTGAGTCTAGTCTCACATGTGACTATGTAGCCTTGATGAGAAGTGACAGACAGCCTTCCTTCTATATCACAGTAGCTCCTTCCAACACGTGAAAGCACAACTTTGACATTCTTCCTATTTCAAAACACTTGGGTCCATGTTGGACCACCCGCACAGCCCCTTTCCCATCTGAGCCCTGTCTGCTCCTCCTTGTGTGTAAAGCAGAGCTGATTAACAAGTGATGAGCTCACCGAGTAATTTATTTTGAATTGCAAGCCTACCCTACTGCTCCATGGCTTCTGGTAATACTCATATGTCCTTTCTCCCATGGCCTGTCCCACTTACTTCCTCACCACAAGCCCAAAAAGACTTTTAATATCCTTTCAATACAGTTTTATAACACAGGAATTGCCTTGCATGTAGTAACTAAAAAGAGGCTCATTCTTTTCCAACACTGTTTCTTCCCCTTACTCAAACACATGTAATGTGACCATCCTATCCCCAGATGTGCTTTCCCCCTCAACCTTGTCTCTACCCCTTCCTACTATGTACCATGCATCAGAGTTCTTCTCTGAAAGGACATATGGCAAAATGGGAAGGAAGAGAATGAAGCATAACTAGGCAGATGACTGGTTGAATACTAGAATACAAGTCCTCTTTGGATGTCCATACATACAGAAAACCTTCTTGGGGTCCTGGCCCTTGGTGAATGATGCTTGAATGAACTCCTGCTTCTCCCGCTATTCCTCCAGTGGGATGGGTCACAGGCCAAAGATCCTGACCCATGTAAGTTGAATGACAGCTCTTCTCACCCTCATTCTGGTGTTTCCCTTTTGTTGTACCTGTTCTCAGATAATCTCCACAATACCTACCCAATCCCTGAAGTTCCTGAAGGAGGCTGGGCATGGCATTACCAAAGAGGAGATCACCAAGGATGCAGAAGGGCTAGACGAGATTGACCATGCAGAGATGGAGCTACGCCGAGGCCAGATCCTCTGGTTCCGGGGCCTGAACCGTATCCAGACTCAGGTACTCAGATAGTAGCCCAGCCTTATTGTGGGAGAAGAAATCTCCCCATTTTGGGAAGTTTGGGGAGGGCAGCAGCTCTTGGTGGCCAACATCTCTTCCCTCCAAGGCCTGCTACTAATGGGCAGCCCCAGTTCCCTAGCTTGAGGACATACGGGGCAGAGGCAGTTGCGTGAGCCCCTCTGAGAGGAGCATAGTTATAGGGTCTAGAGCATAGTCGTTTAGCTTTGGGTTGGTACTAAAGCCCATTGCAAGCTCCCTGCATGAGGTGTCTTATAAGCACTAGACCTAACCCAGAGTAGGAAAAGTTCAGAGTCTTTCCCTACCCTCCAGAAAGAAGGAGTTAGATAATATCACTATGCCAGTTGCCCAGCAGACACTTAATGGACAATCTCAAGCTGCGTTAGGGTAATGTAGATGTTAGCTGGGAGTATCTTTGTAAAAGAAACTTAACCTTTTACATCTTCCCCACTTGAAATTTAAGATCATGGTGGGGAATCCAATGGCTAAGGATGTATAAATGACAATAGTCTCTCGATGCTTGAGTGTCTTTTGCAGGATTCAGACTTGCTTCCCAAAAAGGAAGCTCTAATTTCTTCAAACTTTTTTTTTCTTGCAATTTCTGAAATGGGAGAGAAGCTGCTCCTGATGCTGTTACATCCCCTACCTGTAGTTTCCCCTCTTTCCGTGCAACTGTATCTACCTTCTCCTGGGTGAATGGGCTGCTCTAGCCATTGAGAATCCTATCCCTCTCCCTGTTTTTGCCCCATATACCTCTATCGTGTTAGTCCTGAAATTCCCCACCTCAAGAAACTTTAATTCCCAAGATCTGAAGGGTGCTGTCCAGAGAACAGGCCTCTGTACTGACTGGCTAAAGATCCGGAAATAAGTTTCACTCTCAAATTAGCCTTGCAGATATTTAGAAAGTTCGCTAGTCAAGCCCATCTCCTCTCCTTAGTGCAAAGAGAAGAGAGATGCATTGGGTATTCTAAACTAAATGCCTGCTGAGCCCTTGCTTCCCATAGTCCAGACAACAGATGGAAGTGGGAAAGAGGGGCCAGGTAGGAAGACACTGGAACTCCTTTCCCCTCTCTCATGTTCCTCCTGCCAGAGAGGAAGTTCCCTAGGACCTGTAAATACTGCCTCAGGACATCCAGAGCCAACCCCCCAACCTGCCCCCATACAATTCCTCTAATACCTCCCCGCCTCCCCCTACTCTGCAGCCTGCTGAGCCCGTCCAGCAATGGCCTCATGTGCCCAGAGAACCGGGCACCTTTGGCTCCTGTCACTAAGGTCCCAGTGCTTTCCTTCAGGTCTGCTGTTTTCAAAATAACCTGTCTTCTTTTCTTCCCTTTAGGATCCTCTGCCCCCTCTTCTACTACATGATTTCTTTCCCAGACAGGACTCCCTCATGCCAGTGTCTCCTAGCTCCCAGCCAATCTTCTATCCTGGGGGCTTGAGATTCATGGATCTTCCTTCTCCTCCACTACCAATTTTCACTCCCTCGACTATGTAGTTTCATTGCCAACATAGCTTTAAAAGTACTACCTTTCCTTCTTGGAAGATGAGGTATTTGGGCCAGAATGACCTTAAAGCCCTGAACTTAGGCCACAAAGGCAACCTGTTAAAGATGCCACAATAACTAAATCCGTGCCATTGCAGAATGTACCTGACTCTGTAAGCAGACCAGGCTGACTGCCAACCTGCACCCAGACACCTGAAGCTCTGTCCTGGCAAAACTCTTCAGCCTCAGCAGTGTCCTAACAAAATCCCCTGCTATCTGATTCCTGATCTTTATTGTCATTCTCATCGCAACACTTAGGGTGGGAGATGTTGCCAAGCAATCTCCTGGTCCTGGTCTCTTTAGTTGGGAAGAGCTAAAAGCACTAGAAAGCAGAAGTTTGGGAAACAAGTGCTAGAATCTTGGGAAGGTGAGCCCGGGATCCAGTTTCACTGTGGAAGTTGAGACCTCATAACCCTAATAAGCACTGAGGAAGATATCTCTACAGCTCTTTCTTCCATGTGTCTGAACCCACCCGACATGCAAACCCTTTCCTCCTACAGGATTAGTTTCCTCTGTCCCTTGGACCTGAAAACTGTATAATGTGATGAGGGGTAGTGTTTTAGCTCAGAATCCAGAAACTATTTCTAAACATTTCATGGCTTCTTGGGAAGCTTTATAAGTAAGAATAAGTGGCTCACAAGGTGCCTGCTTTCCCACCTTCTCTCCTGGGGAAATGAAGTCAGATGAGTGGAATTAGCACCTTCCCTGCATTCCTGGGAGATTGCCCATTGCTATTAAGCATGTGGGCATTTTCAAGATGATTCAATCAGATTCTGAAGGATAAAGGAATTCCTTGACTCCCTCCTTGTTACTTAAGGGTCAGGGATCAAGGTGGTAGGTTTGACTGAGGAGGCCCCGCACCCAGACCATTTTTGGAAGACAAATGGCATGAATGACCTCAGGCTCAGAGGAGGAGGGCCCTGGAGACCAGAGACCACTGTGCAGGGCTAGAATGGATGCTGGTCACCACCCACCAACTGTCAACTCTTTCTGCCCCTCCTCAGTCTGACTGCTGAGCTATTGTCAGCATTTCTGCCAGACATTTCCAGATCTCCAATGCATTAATGCAGCTAGTGGCATTCTCTCTTAGGAGCCTGGCCATTGGATCCCTGAGCTCCATTCTAGGTCCCTGTCCACCTCATCCCAAGGAGAGAATGTCTCAGAGAAGAAACCCAGAAGAGGGTGAGCCCAGCAATTTGTGGTTAGGAACCTTTACACTGTGGTCACCTATGTATGGGCTACTACATGCCTCTGTTTTTGCTTTAAACACATGAGTTATTTTCCTGAAAAAAAATGTAAAAATCAGGTAGCTGATTTAATTAGTGTTAGAGGTTCCTGGGCCTCAAAATTTAGTAATATATACTTTACCTTCTATCTTAAGTTGCATGCACTATCTGCGAGGCATCATAGGATGTGGAAGTCCTATTAAAGTTTAGATAGTTTGGGGCACTAGCACACCTAAAATGACCTCCATCCACTGAAAGGGTAGAGCAGACTGGATTCTAGCTGGGTATTTGGACTCTGTGGCCAATTGTTTCTTAAATGAAGTGTGATGTACGATGGACACGTTTCCCCCTGTTCCTTACCAGTGCTTTGTGTGTGAGGGAATCTCTCTGGCTTTCCACCTCCTGTCCCCTTTTCCCAGCTCCTTCCTTTCCCCTTTCCAAACCCCCTAGGACTTTCCCTTCTTCTTTCTTCACCTCTCTCTGACTGTGGAACAAAGCTATTTCACTCTCTGATTCTTTGCAGATCGACGTAATTAACACATTCCAGACTGGAGCCTCTTTTCAGGGAGTCCTAAAGCGACAGACCATGGGTCAACACCATGATGTAAAACATGTTCCTAGCTCATCCTATGTAACAGTTGCACCAGTCAAATCTCCCCCCACCACTTCTGTTGCTGCTGCTGTTCCATCTCCTACTCTGGGCAGTGAGTGATGGTCTATTATGATGCATGATTTGCTATAATGACCACAAGAAAGCATGTGGCATCCACTGTACTCAACCATGGTTATCTTTTCCTTTCGGTTTTCCCTTTGATCTTTGACTTCAGGGAAGAAAAATGGGACAAAAAGCCCACTCCAAAATTAGGCTACGTGCCATTTTATTTTGTTTTATTTTATTTATTTATTTATGTATTTATAATGTTGAAAAGCTATTAAATCATACTATTTTAAAGACCTGTTTTCTAATTGTTCCGTTGCATTACTTGTTTCTTCCTTGAGTTTTTGTTTTGTTCTACTTTTTTTTTTTGTTTTTTGCTTTGTTTGGATATGTTGTTGTTTCTCTCCTCTCCTGCTCCTTAAGCTAGATGTAAGGTTAAGCCAAATGGAAATACAGAAACTCTCTTCATTTCGGGGCAAGATTGAGATCTCCCAAGAAAGGTATGAAGGAAGCTATTGTTCCCATGTTTTGTTTTATTTTTTTACCAGTTGACCTTTCATAATTGAGCCAGTATCGAACTTGACCACTAATAATAGTCCTTTTGGTGACTGCTCTATTTTTAGCTGGCAGTATTGGCATAATAGTTATAGCTGAATATGAAGAAACAAAAGTATTCAACTCAAATGCACAGGGCTATGTAGCCCTGTTGTTTTATTTTTCAGGGACTTTAAACCAAATTCTAGTTTAAGAGTCAATTAATTCACATCTGGGTAGGAGAAATATATAAAAAGATCACAGTAACTTATTTTTCACCCTGGCTGGTGTGGCTTAGTGGGTTAAGGACCAGCCTCAGCCTGTGGACCAAAAGGTTGCTAGTTCAATTCCCAGTCAGGGCACATCCCTGGGTTGCAGGCCAGGTCCCTAGTTGGTGACGTGCAAGAGGCAACTGATTGATGTTTCTCTCCCTCTCTTTCTCCCTCCCTTCCCTTCTCTCTAAAAAATAAGTTAATTCTTTTTTCTTGCTTCTCCTTTCCTTTAGGGATAAAATAGAAAAATAGAAGCAGGAAGTTTGAAAACCATTGCCTCACCAGTAGCAAACCCTTCATATCTTATTTTGCACACAAAATTCTAGGAACCCCTTTTTCAGCCAGCCTGTCCATTGGAACTCTGTCTACACTCAGCCTGAGATCTGCTGTTCCCATTAGTAGATTATTGGATTCTTGTTAATGCTTATGGCTTCCTATTCCTGGTCATTTTACCTTTTCCAAATGGGATACAGAGAGGAGAGAGAAGTCTGTTTGCTGATAGTGCCATTACAGTATTTGGTGGGAAAGGAATCGCTCTGTATTAAGTATACTGTTGGCTTAAATTTCTGAGTGTTTGTCTCTCTCTCCCGCCCAAGCCCCTCTTCCAGCCCAGGGATGGGGGGTGAAGAAAGAACAGTTGCACTGTCAGGAGTTCACATGGCTGTGAGCTGCATTGGTTGACCAGGCTTAGATTATTTGTTGTCTTTTTAACTAACTGCAAGTGTTCTCATGTGAGGTATTGAGGATATTTATATAGATATATATTAGTTTAGGCACAAAGGCAGTCAAAGAACTAAATGTCTTACCCTGCAAATATCTAAGAGCCTTTAGCTCTAATGCTCCCATATTTCTCTCTTATTTCCATTTTCTTCAACTTTTGCCATGTTCTTCTAACTAATTTGCGTTCTTTTTTTTAATCCTGCCTTTATGTTAGGAAGGGTTAGTGTCAGATATCTCAGTGATTTGCAGGTGGAAGGCACTAAGCAGAAGACAGCCCACTGAGCTCTTGCAGAGTTGTTGGTAGAGGGCGTGCTGCACACCATCAAGACTGAAAATTGGTCAGGGGAGACAGACCATACCTGCTCATTCTCCAGCTCCTTCTTCCTTGGAGGTCCTAGAAGTTAATATCCATACATTTTAAAACCTCCTTTCTCATTTCAGATCTCCAAATGAATTCAATTATTTATCTAACCTTCAGTAGGTAAATCTCTAACATTTCCCTCTATAGGAAAGCCCTTATCTCTTTTCTTCCCCTGGTTTCTGAAAAGCAAGCAGAAAATTACAGAATACCAGCTGAGGAAATGGAGTCTTCATCTGCCCACTCATTAAGCTACAGAGAGTGGCCCTTTGCACTCATGCCTAACCCAAGGTCTAGCCTGTTGGGGATCCTGAGTCATGAGGAAGATTTGCCCTTTAATCAGCCACTTCACCAGTAGACCTGGGGCTGCAGAAGAGACATTCCCCAGGGTTGTCATTCAGAGATGATGAGCAGGGAAGGAAGGGCGGATTAGCTGAGTGGAGAGAGACTAAAGCTTTCACAGCACCCACCTCACTAGCTGTGTCTTGTTTCCCATACACCGCTCATGTACCACGCAGCATGCATCAGGAAGGGAAGAGAACCTGGGCTGGACTGGTGATGGTGTGTTTGTGCTTGTTTATCGGCATGTGTCATATACTCTCTGAGGCCAGTGTTGAACTTGAGGAGCATTCTGGCACAACCCCATGCCCTCTATCCCCTCACCTTTCTTTCCACCTGCCAAGCCACCAGATGGTACTCCCTAGCTTTCTGACTCCACTTCACTTGAACTTCCCTTGCAGGTAACTGGTTTCCCTTTAGATTCCAGAAGTCCTGCAGTCGAGCCAGATGGCCGTTGCTTGCTCCCCTAAAGAAGAAATTTTCCCTATTTTTTTCCATCGACCCATCACCAATTCACTTTTATCTCCCTTATTGTTTACCTGTAACAGTGTTATGATCACCCCAACTTTTCCTCTAGGTTAGAGGAAAAGCCAGTGAACAGGGCTCCAGACCCCCACTACAACCCCAGTTTTTAAAAATCTGTTTTCTATATTGAACTTCATATCATTGTTTTTATAAAGTATTCAATGCTTAAAACAATAGAAGCAGGAACTTTTAAAATCATTGATATCAAAGATGATCAACTGGTGTTATAAATGTACCTGTTCACCTGCAGCACTTGTTAGAAATTTTGAGATCTCAAAAGAAGGTGAAAAAGTATAAGCTATGTTATCACTCCTGCTGGGGATGGTATGGCTTTGAACCCATCTCTTGACCAGGGCCAAGAGAGAAGGCATTGAATTTGGGTTTACTTAAACCAAGTTGCCTTGCTCTAAGTTTGGTGTAGATGAGTTAAAACTTAGGACTTCCTGAAGACCAGATGAAGCCTCTATTCCATGTAACCTCACCTAGATAGGGATCAAAGGAACATGATCAGTAAAATTCACCTAGATGGTCAGTAAGAATCACAGAAGGAGGGAAAAGTAGGTCCTTACTTTCTGTTCAGCATGGTGAATATGTGCCAAAGTTCCCTGATTCTTCATGGCTGAGGTGTTGAACTGATTCTATTGAGTGGCAAAGAGTCCTTACCCTCTGGGCTCTGAGCACCCTCGGTCCTGGGTGGGTCTGCCAGGTTGTCACAGAGTAAGAAAAGATAAGGAAAGCCTAGCCAGCAGAGACACAACTTCAATGAACCTTCTTTGCACATTACTTTTGAAAGTTCTCTACAATGATAGGAAGTACTGGAAGAGATGATCCAACCAAGTGATTTGCCTCTTCGTATGTTCTGCTGTCTCCACATTCTTCTCCAGGAACATATTCTTTGGTTAAACAGCAGAGGGATGTAAAAGGTGCCCTACCCCAACACTTCTCATTCCTCTATCCCACTCCCCACCTCAACAGTTCTTCCTATATTACTCCCATTTCTTTTCCAATGGAAATATTTTTGACCAAGACCAGAATCAGCCACCTCTCAACAACGAAAATCTCACAAATGCTTTCTTTTCCCCTGTCCTCACTCTCCAATCTCCTGGGATACAACTTTCTCCACCAACCTCAATTCTACTCAACCATGTTCTAAATCATCCCTCAGAGAGACCTGCAGCTCAGAAAAGCAGGCTGCCAAAGCAGGTGCCTATGGGTAAGGCAAAGGCTGGTCACAGGGATTGTGGTCCGTTTTTTCCCTTTCTCTGAATTGCCTGAACCCTCTATTTTTGTGCAGTAAAACAAAGACTAACATGGGACACTGCATGTCCCTTTCCTTGCCCAATAAAACTACAAATTGTTGCCTTTCCTTCATCTTCATACACCCCATCAGAAAAGCCACTTGTTTGTAGCACTGTCCTCTGGATTGGGTGTTTTTTGTCCTGGTCCCATCCTTTTCCTTCTCCACGTAAGGTCATGCTTCTCTCTATGATTTAGAAACAGCTGGGGGAAGCTGTGAGACTGGGCAGAGTTGCCATGTATCAGAGACATGGACATGCCTTTGAGTATGAAAGCCAGGTCTTCTCTCAGTAGTCAGGAGGAAGGCGTCTTTTGATATCTTCGATACTTGTATTTCATCCACATCCTCCAGGGGAGGGACAGAAGGAAGGGGGCAGGGTGGAGGTTGTGGGATATAAATATATGCATGTCTCCTGATGAAAGAGCAATTATTCAATTGGAGAATATGAGATTTAGTTTCTTGCATGCTGCTGACACAAATGAAGATTGGTTTGTCTGCCTTGCTGCATTATATTTATGGCCACTTATCACCCAGAGTGTATTGTGTCCAGATTGGTACGTGTTTGGCTATTTGAGGGTTTTAAACAGATAACTAAACTTCAATGTATAATTTTTCCATTCTACATTCACAGAATGTTTGGCTTCTACACAAAAATCCACATGTCTAAATAATCTTTTAAATTTGGCTGTTCATTTGCACCTAGTTCCAATATCTGTGCCCTCTGTTCAAAAGAACTAATGAATCCTTTTGTTTTCTGTTTTGTTTTGAGTGGATTGTTTGGGAATGCTAACTTTGCTTTGGGTTTTCTATTTTTTTAAAGCAGCTTTTGAAACATCTTAGTTGTTTGTCATTACTCACCTCACCCCACCCAATGCTTGAAATTTGAGCCACGTAAATGTTTTTAGTGTTCCACGATCTGTTTCATGTATGGTTTTTGTTGTTGATCAGTAATGTTTTATAGTTTGGGTTTGGTTTCTCTCCTCAAACCACCAGTTTCTTGTTCTACTGGCCAATTCTCATCTCTGTATTTTCTCATCCTTCTTTTCCTTCCCCTGGTATAGATCAAAGTGGTCAAAGCATTCCATAGTTCCCTCCATGAAAGCATCCAGAAACCTAGCAGCCAACACTCCATCCACAACTTCATGACCCACCCTGAATTCACCATAGATGAGGAGGTGCCACGAACACCACTCCTGGATGAGCAAGAGGAGAAAAATCTTGAAAAGGTTTCCAAGCCTGGGACTAGGGTGCTCCTGTTGGATGGGGAGGTCACCCCGTACGCCAACAAAAACAACAATGCGGTGGATTGCAGCCAGGTGCAAATTGTTGCCTCCCACTCGGACAGCCCTCTGCACAGCCTGGAGACATCAGTTTGAACTTTATTCTCTGACTCCCATTCCTGCTTTCCCTATTTCCTGTTCATCTCTCCCATCTATAAGATGATCATGGGACTTTTCACTGTCATGTCAGTTGCTCTCAAGTATGTGTGAGCCCCACCTGTCCATGAAGAAGAGAACAGACCTACAAGGATTTCAACTTACACTTGAGTTGGGGTTTGTAGTGGGACCCTGTCAAATCCTAGGCAGTTAGTGAAGTAGAATCTACTCCTTGGCTATATCAGTTGTCATTTTTAAAGAAGTGATATGATCCTCTTGGCATCCACCCCAACCTGAATTCTCCCCCAGCATTCATACGTGTGTTGCCATCCCCTGACTTCTGGATTTTACCCTATGAGTCTGTACCATTTATAACCTCTAGAGAGACAAATACTCTCAAATGAAATGTGTGGGAAGCAGGAATGGAATGTATGGAATTAGCCTATAGAGTGATTGTTTTTAAAATCATTTTCCCATTTTGAAAACTTATACCTAAAGCCCTCTAGCTCTTTCCACCCTTCCAGTCAAACTTCCCCAAGGTCTTTTGACTGTTGTCTTCTTTACTTTCACTTTTTTCTTTTTTTAAGTTGTGATGATTAAGAAAGTGGAAAAAACCTGGATGAATTGAGTCAGCTTTGACCATTCTCTCTTCTGGTCCCAGCAGACCCCTTGATTTAGTTTTAGAGGCAGACAAGTTTTCTTTGCTAACAGGGTCTTTTGAAGCTATTGAGAACTGGTAAGAATGTACTCCTACTGTTACCAGGTTATTTACTTCTAAACTTGTCAAGTATGTGTGGTTCCTAAGTACAAGAGAGATCGACCTTGACTATGAAGCTTGCGTATGTGTGGTATGTCATTTTTACTATAACTCTGAGATTTCTCCTATTCCTAAAGTGGCAGCAAATGAAATCTATTGAGAATGACCCTGTCTCCTAACTGAACTTAGATATCAAGGACCAGAAGCTGGCAAGTCTAGGACAAGACAGACCAGCAAAGCCAACTCCTGTAGGATCTTTGGAGTGACCACTACTGTTTTCAAAGCCATCTGGCAAGGCTCCTCCAGGGCAGGACCTAGTTGTTGGAAGATTGAGTGTTGAAAAGCCTTGGGAGCGGCCAAAGGGCCATTCTAGCAGGACCTGAGAAACCAAAAACCTTGAGCTTAGATAGCTGGGTATCAGCTTTGACATTCCCTTCAGTTGTTTAATCCTACTCTTTGCTACATCTCCTAATTTGTCCAGTCTCTGAAAAGGTTCCAACCTTTCTCAAATATTCTGATTTTGAAAATATGGATCCAAAGTGGGAGGCTCCAGTGACATTTTGCTGACATAAAGGAACAAAAGACACCCTAAAAAATCTCTCCATCCTCTCTTCCTTTCTCTCACATGCCCCACACAAGCCCCCCTACAGAACGTGCTCACCTGCTGCACAGTAAAGCTCTGTGCCTTCTTTCCCTGAACACTGCCCAAAGTATCCCTTTCACCTGCCTCTCAGGAGCTGGGGACTTCTCTAGGAGATTTTTTTAAGTGTATCTTAATGGGACAAGGTGGAGCCACATTTGCAGCAGCTCCATTTTTATCACTGCTGATGTTGATTTATGCTCTTCTGTGCAGGGGTTTGCTCATGTCTGCCAATTCCCTCCTCCCACTGAAGCCTGCCCCTCTTTGCAGAGTGATGGGAGCAGGGAGAAGGGGCTTGAGGGTATTATGAAGTGCCAAATGTCCATTTGTGAGAGTTAGAGCACCCAAACCTATCCCCTCCAACCTTTTCTTCTGGATGCCGCCTCCCTCACCCTTTCACCTGAGCTGTCCAAGGTAGAAAGAGGGAAGAAAACAGTGCTCCCTGGACACCCCCACTGCCACAGAATCCACCACGTTGGGCTTTGGTTTCATGAAGGTGACATGTGTCAGTGATCTTTGCCCCGTCTGAAACACCCATGGGGGAGGACAAACAGCTCACACAAGGTGTTAGGTGTTCACATGTATATTTATTAAGTACATTGGAAGATTTAGTTCTGCCAAGTCTTTTATTACCTCAGATCAGTTTGAAAAACAAGCCAATAACAAACTTTGGAGGCTATTTTACCATTCCTGCTCCCAAAAGACTCTCATGGTGCCTGACAGGCTCCTCCTGAGAGTTTGTGTCTACTTTTAAAGTCAACGGTTTTTTATGTATTCTAGTTTCCATAGTAGGAGAGAAAATATAGAAATATTATGCAAAAATATATAGTTTTCTTTAGATCCGAAACTGGTATTTTTTGAGTCAGCCATATGCATTTTGTTTAAAGGATTTAAAAATAAAGTGCTGTCATGTAACCCTGTGGAGGGAGCCCATAACCAGCTATTTAACATGACAGTTGACTTAGTGTATTTGTAATTGGTTCAAAACCAATGCACCATAATTCCTTTCTCCAAACAGCCATCTTTATACTTAGGGGAAAATTTTGTTGGGTTCTAGACTTTTTTAATATACATTTTGTTGATATGGAATTGAATGAGTTTAAGTGTTTATGTGCCTATGTTTTTTTACATGTTTTTTTCTATTCAGTTTCAGTAATCCAGCTGGCAGTGAGTAAATATGGCATAAGTTAATAAAGCTTTCCCCCAAAATGGTGCTTTGGATTTGAAAAGGAACTGATGGGGAGAAGGGGGAACTATTAACCTAGACTGCTCTCTTGATAAGTCTAGAAAAATGGACAGTATGCTGGATGGGAAGGAAAACATCCAGCAAGAAGGCAGAGCCAGCAGAAGTGAGCGTATGCCCCCGTGAAGGTGGGTGCCAGGCTCTCTAGTAACAGGTGACTAAGGTCAGGGGCCTTGGTTGGATTTTGTTTCTTGAGGAATAGCTGGCAGAGTGGTACCCAAGACATGAACATCTCTTGGGCTACAAGGATACTCTGATTTGGGGTTTGCATTTTTTTACCTCCAGCAGGAGGTTCTTTCACCTCCTGTTGCCTCTGGGGTTTTCCATTAGTGAGGTTTTATGCAAGGATCTGAGCTGAGACATCTTCTCCTTCCCTAGAAAGGTGTTGTGCAATGTATAAAATGGAGAATAGAGTTCTAAGTGAAAAAAAAAAAAAAAAACAGGCTGATTCTAGCCCCAGCTGATCGTCTTAGGGCTAGATCCTTCCCATAGGTGCCCTCTGACCTCTGAAATGACTCACATCCCTGAAAGTTGTAGAGAGACCAACCTAGAAATTCCTCTGGCACTTGTGTGTGTTCTTTGGGTTTAGCTTTCTTTTGCCCCTTGAGCTTCAGAGGGGAGCATTTGCACTTAAATCTGAGTGATTACCTCACTGCCAAAACCCAGAGGGGCGTGGCAAGCTCACATGTGCCCTGAAACCCCAGAGGCAGAGCTTCCTTTCTTTCCGGCTTCCTTGCCTATCAATTGAAGCAGCCCATGATACCATCACAAAGTACACACTTCTCACTTTGCCTAACAAGGGACCACCCCACTGCAACGGTGGGGGTGAGGCATTTGGAAATGCCTGCTATTCTTAAGCCATTCCAGCCCCTTCCTCAGAATAGACCAGAGAGCCTTCCATTGAGCTCAGTGCCAGTCTTTTTTGCCTTCCCAGCCCTGCTATCAGGCCTGCTGTCCCATTTCCTCTTGCTTAAGAGGTGGAGGGAAGTGAGCTCCCCATGGCTGAACTAGCCTTTGGTTCATGTTTCCTCCCCATATGTATATATATGCCATATGTGACTATGCCATATATATGTGCCAACAAATCTAACTATGTTGTTTTTTTCAAATCAGCACGCAGATAGGAGATCTGAGTTTCTTTTATATTTTTTTTCGAGTAACTAGTATAGTAAACACTGGTTTTTTGTATAAGAAAAAAACAAAACAAAAGATAGGCCACTGTGGTCTGCATGATATCAGTAAGCAAACGGTGATATCAAATCAGTGTGCACCCCAGTGTGTGTTGCCATAATTTGCTGTTCAGCCTAACAGTGCACCCAATCTGTATTTGCATTTTGATATTATTTAAGCTCTCTGTACAATGTTTTGCATGTATTTATATGGTTCTTAGGGAAAAAATGCTATAAACTGACAAATCTGAAATTCAAATATGTTGTTCCACTGAGACAGGAAGAAGAGGAGTTTTAAAAGATGGAAAAAAGGGATAATTTTTTTGGAACCAATAAAGTTTGTTGCTAATGAGCAGAATCAGTACTGCCGTGCACTGAGAATAAAAGCCCACGCCCACTCGTAATTGTGCTGTCCTCCGTGTGTCTCCACTTCTGGATGATGTCACTGGTTGTTGAGGTTGGGAAAGGGTCTGTGATGGCCATGTTGGGAACTCCACCAGAGCAAGCCCAGAACTTGCCTTATTCGTGGACCCTGACTCACTTTTCTGTCACCGTTGCCCTCGGTGACTCGTGGCCCTGGTTGTCAGCTCTGTCCCCTTGTGGTACAAGCTTTGTTCTGCCCTCTTTGGTTAGAATCTACAACCAGGGAACTGTGAAGCTGACACTTCTGAAAAACAACCCACTTGGAAGGATAAGAAAGAGGTGGAGTCTTTCTTTTTATTTTCCATTGTAGGTTCCCTCCCAAATACCCTTGCCAAAAAGGGATGCAAAACACACACATACCCACCCGCCTCTAGAGTCCTTTCTGAAGTATGGCCCTATACGTCACCCTCGTCTTTGTTGGGCCCTAGGTCTGTGCCTCTCTGTGCCAGACAGGATCTTAAGGACCCACACCTCCTACCCCAGTGTGCAGTAAGGCACAAAGAAGAGTGAACTTCAAAGTTGCTATCTGGCAGGGACCAATGTCTCCTAAGATAATTGGTTTAATGGAGTATAAAAGCCAGCTCGGCTCCATGGGCCTGGGTTACTAATGGAAAAGCCCACACTCTTTTCTTTTTCCCCACCCCCAGTTCTAGAAATGAATCATTTCTTTGCCCCCAGCCTTTAATGGTTTGTGAGCCTCCCCTTTCTCAGCCACTATATATATCCTGTCCCTACGGTCACTGGGTCTGTTTGTCACTCTCTATCAAGACTGATTGGTTCCCTCCCAAACACACAACCAGGCCAACTCTGAATTACTCTGGTAAATCCAAAAATGACTGTGTGCCAGTGAGCTGGTTACCAGCTTCTGACCCGGGTCTGTTACGGCATGGTTTTCACGTCACTGCAAGCAGGAAGGAGAATGAAAATGGATGTCCTTCACCAGGAAATAATAATTGAAACCTTGTAAGTAAAACATGCAAACATGTCACTCTTTCTGTGTGGCTCATGTCCCCAACATGAACCTAAGCCATGAGAGGTAATTTCCTGCTAAGTTCACTGACTATAATACTTTTAGTTTTGAAAGGTAGTAGCTTCTGGGTTCTGGGTTTTCCTGTACCCTGATGTGGAACTAAGCACAAGTCTCTATGTCTCTGAGCCTTGTTTGAGACACCTCCCTGTTCTCAGAAGACACACACAGAACAGAGCAGTCTCTGAATGCCCCAACCCCCACGCTATCTCCAGAGAAGCTGGTGTTAAACCAGAATGCCACGTCATGCTTATTTACAAAGAGAACTTACATGATCCACATATTAGAAAAGCCAAATTACAGCCAGAAGTTTGACTTTAGTTTATAAAATTTGAGCAAAGGGAAACACCTGGACTGTCTAAGTGGCCAGCCCCATCACACTCAAAGCCAGATACACCCGCTTCTGCTGAGGTAGCCCGGCCCCCAAGTTCAGGTTGAGGCACCAGGGGGTTTCTCTGATGTCCCCTGTAGTGGAGGTCACATAGACAGACCACCCTTCAAACAGCACAGCCAATTAGGTTAAGTTTCCTTGCTGTGCTAGACCCAGGAATGCTACGTTAAAACACTGATTTGGGTTTTATAGCTCCCAATCTTCCTGTGCTGGCCTTATTTAAAGCAAATGTGCGTGGAAACTACTTGAAAGAGGAAGTGAGGCTGGGGAGGGAAGGGCTAGGAACTAGTGATTGCCCCCAGCCATCTGCCAAAGGGAGAACAAAACCCCAAGATAAGAATTCCCACATCTTCCGTGCCAAATCTTTGAACTGCAACTGCTGCTGATGAGGGAGGAGAAAGGGCTTCGAATGATTTTGTGCTCACCCTCTAGTGAAGGATCTAAAGACAGAAAAATTAGAGAACTGGAGTACGACTGTGGTGTGTGGCAGCCTAGGAGGCAGGAGGCACGTGTCCTGAGCCCCACCCTATCTCTTGATTTTCCGTCTCCACAAGGAGACGGTCACATAACGTAGAAGATTTTCAGACTGCACTTTGAAGATCTGAAAGCTTTCCTCAGAGTTGCCTCAGAGCCCACAGGTGTTCAACAAAAATGGCTTTTTAAAAAATGTATTTGGCTTTCACGTTAGCTATAGCTTTATTTTAAAAATATTGCATCCACTGATAGACCTTGAACAATCTAACTGTTCTTTTGGTTTGCACTAGGATGCAAAAGAAAAAAATCCCTGCACTTTCTGTCTTTGTGGCAGCCCAGATTGAATAGGGGACTACATCTGCGGCAAAATAAAGTAAATAAATAACAATAGAAATATTAAGAGCCCTGGCTGGTGTGGCTCAGTTGGTTGGAGTGTTGTCCCATAAACTGAAAGGTTATGATTTCAATCCTTAGGGCACATGCCTAGGTTGCTGGTTTGATCCCCTGTAGGGGCACTTATGAAAGGCAACGGATCAGTGTTCTCACATTAATGTTTCTCCCCCTCTCTAAAATCAATAAGCAAGTCCTTGAGTGAGGGTTAAAAATAATACTAATAAGTCCTGGCTTGTGTGGCTCGGTGGATTGAGCGCCAGCCTGTGAACCACGTTCCCAGTCAGGGCACAGGCCTGGGTTGCAGGCCAGGTCGGGCCCTCAGTAGGGGCACGTGAGAAGCAACCACACATTAATGTTTCTCTCCCTCTCTTTCTCCTTCCCTTCCCCCTCTCTAAAAATAAATAAAATATTTAAAATAATAATAACAATAGCACTGTGAACTAGTAATCTCTGAAATGCTATGATTCTAATGAAGAAATCGAATAATCAGTGCTGAAATGATACAACCTGGGGTGACAATGTAACAAAGTTGTGTGATTAAATACGCAAAGAAACCGAACTTGGATCCTATATCAATGTGTCTCATCATAATTCTCAATGTACATACAAATAATATAGAGTACAATTTAGTAATTATAGGTCAGCCTGCTGAGATTATCATCAAGCTAACTCTGCTTTGGAACTTACTGCAGCAGTTTGGGAATGCAGAGATCTAAGCCACTGGAATGGCATAAAATTAGAATAGAGAAGCAAGATACCTCACTCGAGCTATGGGAGAAAGAGCTAGCCTGGAAATTAGAAGTCCTATGCTGTAATCCTCACCCTGCTGCTTAGCTGCTGTGTGACCTAAGGTTTCTCCAACTCCTAGCACTTTCCATTCTTGCTCTAGTGTCTAAAGTTGCTACACAAAGCTACAGTATATTTGTTCTGAAATATTTTTTATTGACTTTGTCAGGCATGGTCTCTTGTCCTATGATCTGTACAATTTTATTCATTAAGACTTTCTTCAGCCCTGGCTGGCGTAGCTCAGTGGATTGAGCGCTGGCTGTGAACCAGGCATTACGGGTTTGATTCCCAGTCAGGGCACATGCCTGGGTTGCAGGCCATGACCCCCAGCAACTGCACATTGATGTTCCTCTCTCTCTCTCTTTCTCTCTCCCTTCCCTCTCTAAAAATAAATAAATAAAATCTTTAAAAAAAGACACATTCTTTGGTGATATTTAAAAAAAAGACTTTCTTCAAAGAACTAAATTAACTTGATGTGGAAAGTACAGCTATATATAGTAGTGATGCTGCAATAAAGCTATCTTATTTTTTTTTTAAGTAAAAAGTGGTGTTGATCCTGGTTGAAAAAAAAAAAGCATCTCTAGACTGGGCTTTACCATGTTAGGCATATAGCATGACGAGATAAAGTGACTACCTATTCTAAAGTAAGGCATCCTTCAGCTTTTGTGTGTATTTTTTAAAGAATAAATATAATCATCCCTACAAAAAAATAACCATCAGAGAATGTCTAAAAGCGTTTCTCTTTCATTGGTTACTCCCAGGGGGTGTAGCATTACTGTGTGTGCATTAGCACAATAGCATACAGCATACCCAGACATGTGCAGGCAGGCTTCACTTAAGCTCAGCCACTTAAACCTGCAACAAAGACAAATTACTCCACAGCCCTGAAAGTACAAGAAATCTGTTTTTGTTTCTTTTCTAAATCAAATCAAATGTAGCACCAAACTGACTAGCACTCACCGAGATCTATGATATATTGCTTGCCACTGTAGCTTGTTAGGAACACCTAGTTAATGAAATGATTGAAATAATATTCTATTCACTCGCATGAGAAGAGAACACAGAAAGCCATCTTGACCTGTGTCTTCCCTGATCCAGTCCCATGGCTTGTCTGGTCCAGTCCCCAGGTCCTTTGCCCTAGGCACCTCTTCTGACATGCATTGTGCCGGGACCACCCACCTTGCTCCCTCTGCTGGGAGTTCACCTCCCTCCTGCCAGAGCCCCTGGGTCAGAACCTCTGCGTGTGTGGGCTGGTGAGGGACCCCTGCAGATAGAGAGAAGCCTTGATTGAGTTGTGCGCAGGCATTTGGTTATCAGCCCTGCCTGGGCTCTGCAGCTGCTGGGACTCTAGGGAAGCCTGCCAAATGCAGAACTCCAGAAGGCCGGAACAGGGCTGCTCTGCCCTGCTCCCAGACTTGAGGAGAGGATTCTCTCACCTTGTCAGCAATGCCAGGCCAACAGAGGCTTAGCCTGAGTGGGAAACAGAAGCCATCCCCTGACTCCTGTCTTGTTTCCAGATTCTCCTCCCTCTGCCCAAGGCCCTTGAGTGAAGCAGGGACAGGGAGCAGAGAAGTGAGGAACATTTCTGTAGTTTCCAAACCTCTGTCCTAACCCTGCTTTCTCGCAACTTTAACTTCAGAGAAAGGTATTTGCTGGCTCTGTTCTCTCAGACTAGTCTGGACTGGAGAAGGCCTCCAGGAGGCCCAAATGCATGGGGAGGGTGGGGGTTTCCCCACCAGCAAGGCTCCTGCTGTAATTTTGCTGGTGGTTTCAGCTTCCAAACCTTCTAAAACCAAGCCTGGCTGGAGTTCTTTCACCTGGGGCAATTTGGGAATTTTTTTTTTTTACTCAGAAATAAAAAAGCCATTGTTAACTCCTCCTAAGGGCAAAAGAAACCAGCACTGGAGCTCAGGGTGTCCTTCCTACAGAGGGTAAGGAGGATGAGCAAAGCTTGCCTTCTTCCTTTGGCTGATGAGTGCCTAGAGGAAGAAGACTAGACATGGATTCCTTGCTCAATATTGTAACAGGGTGCAACCAAGAGGGGGGACCCCAAATAAGGATTTGAAATGGGGTCCAGATACCGCAAGGTATCCAGGAAATATTAGGATGTCCTCACCCCGCTCCACACAGGTGTGGGTTGGGGAAAGAGACAAATGGAGCAGGGACATTGAGAGCTGTTTTGCATAGCAACAGCTTTGCAGCTAACCTCTGGTGTGGTCATTTAACACATCTATAACCTTTAACTGGTTACATAGATATGGTAAATAGCTGTGGCCATGCTCTGAGCCAGGGGAATAGAAGTAACTTCCCCACCAAGATCTAACTGGGGAGCAGGTCCCCCAAGTTACAGCACCTGCGTGAGAGCTTGGAGGGACTCAGCAGCCATAGGAGAGAGGACCACGCAGCTGGGACCCTGGCAGGGAGAGAACCACTCAGTCTTTAGCAGAGTGGGGACTCCCGCAGCCCTCTGAGAGAGAAGAACCATGCAGCTTTAGCAGAGAACCACCACACGGCTTTGGCAGAGTGGAGACTCCCGAGGCCATTGTGCAGAGAAGATCACGCCGCTGTGGCAATAGAAGGGAGAACCTCGAGGCTTTGCCAGAGTGGGGACCCCCGCAGCTTTGGAAGGGGGAACCACCACCTGGCTTTAGCAGAGATCCCGGCGACATAGCTGATGGTTCCGGAAACCGAGGGAGCTTACCAGCCAAGACGGATTACTGAGAAGAACCGGGGGCTGCCCGAGCCATGGACTTCTATTTCTTTTCCTGAGATACGGTACCCCAGACTGGGCAAAGGGGGAAGGAAGGACTGTGTGTGTTTGTGGGTGTTTTAAGGGACTTTGGGATTTTGATGAAGACATTAGGTCACTACTTTAAGTTTGTATAGCATTAAATAAACATTTCTTTTCCTTTTCACGAATCTCTGGCATTGAGAGACATCTTTCCTCTGGTGGCAGACATAACGAACCCAGGGGGCTCCTTTCGGGTAATAGTATATTGCCCTCGGCTGCCTTTGGCCCCCCTCTTTGTTCGGTAACAATATCTCACCCTTTACACACTTGGGTCATAAATTCACAGCAGCAACAATCACCTCCAAGGGAACTTCTCAGAGGGCCCAGTTAACTCATGGTCAGGCACCATGCCAAATGCCAGAGCTGCAGTAAACAAAACAGTTCTTGCCCAGAAGGGGTTCAAAATCTACTAGGGTAGACAGACATTTCAAAAATGAATCCTTGCAGCTGAGAATCCTTACTGTGCGTCGGACACAGTAAGGCAAGAACCCAGTTCTCAGGGGGAGAAGGCTTCCCAGAGGTGGTGACACTAAGGGCACTTTTTAAAAAATAACAATTTTACTTATTTTTAATAAAAACAACACTTGATCCTTGTAATAATTCAAGCAATAAGTGTCCAAAAAAAGTATCAAAATACCTCAAGCCCAAAACCCAGAAATAACCAGTATAAACTCTTAAAATGTGACTCTATTGGAATTTTACTAGCAAAAAAAGAAACTGCTATTATAATGAAGAAATTTGTCATTCAAAGGCCCCGAGTACAAAAGTGACAATGAGCTGGGTCTGCCTGGAATGCAGAGTCCTGCAAGAGGGTGGCCAGCCAAGGTTGACCCACTGCATGAGGACAGGGACCACGATGTCTGTTTTATGTGCAAAGCCAGTGTGCAATGTCATGTGATGGGAGACGTCCCATAAATGTGTGCTTAAAGAATAAAGTAGCAGCCTGGTGGGTGTTGGTCTGTTGGTGGGAACATCATCCTGTAGACCAAAAGCTTACTTTCAGGTTTGATTCATGGTCAGGGAACATACACAGGCTGTGGGTTCGATCCCTGGTCAGGACACCTACAAGAAGGCAACCAATCGAGTTTATTTATCACATTGATGTTTCTCTCCCTCTCTCCCTCTCTCCCTCTTCCCCTCTCTCTCCTTCCCTCTCTCTCTAAAAAGCAATGAAAAAATGTCCTCAGGTGAGGATTAAAACAAAGAAAAAAGAATAAAGTAGCACACAGGAGGTAGGTAGGCTAAGAATCAAGAGAGGAAGGCAAAGGGGCCAGTCCATTAAATGCTATATAAAGGAGTAACCCTAATGCATTTCGAGATAATAATATACTAGCAGCCCGCATTTAATGAGCTCTTGCATATGCCAAATGCAAGGCCAGGCATTTTTCATTGTAAGTCCAATTAACTCACAAGTTTTATCTAAGTACTATTATTATTGTCATTTTACACCCTAAAAATATGAGAGGACCTGCCCGAGATCATCCAAGTAGTAATTTAAGATCTTAATTCACGGTGATGCTCAACAAAGTGCTCTGTCTTTCCAAAGAGGATTCCTAGAGGTTTTTGGTGTTAGCTACTCATTAAGTTAATGTGTAGCCCCTCCCCCTCAAGAGGCTTTGCTCACTTGGGTGCATAAGCTCTATTTAAAACACGCCTTAATACTATTAGAGAACAAAATTCAACTGAGGCAATGTGAAGATCTAATTGGCTTTATTAAGCGATTCATGCACCAGGCAGCATCCCATCTAGCAGATGGAAGGGTGCTCTAAGGAGCTGTACAAAATGAAAGGGTTTTTTTTTTTAATAGGAAGGTAGGTGGGGCAGGGGAGTTATTAGCCCAAAAAAGGATTACTTTTAAACCAGAACGTCTTCTTTTGGAAAGACAAGGGTCTTTCATCACGCACATTGTTTCTTTTCCTTTGGGGGTGGGGACAGAGGTAGACCACGTGACAGGCTACCGTAGAGGTGCTTGGCCAGACAATTCCTGACTGGTTCATTAAGATATTTCTCGGAGAAGTTGAAACCAATTCAATTAAATTAAGTCTAACTTTGATATCATGGGCTTTAGCTCATGTACCTTGGGGAGGGAAAGAAGAGCAGAGTAAAAGGGCGCAGCCAGACCTTGGGAATCTGAGCTGTGTCTTCGGCCTGGGAACCTCCTTTGAGGGGGCTGTTTCCCCTCAGTGTGAGGCAAGAGAGAATCAGAAGATCAGAGACAAGATTAGTCTGACTCAAGCAGCCTGAGTAGATAAGAGATAGTCACATGCAAGAGGAAGTTCTTCAAAAAATGTGTTTTTTTTTTAAGTAGTAGTCAGGGTTCTAAGGTTTGGTTCTATCTGCCAGTCCTGTGTCCTGTGTATCATCTTTCAACTTGCTGGTTTACAACGGTCCCCTCTGGGTGTCAGTAGCTCAGGACAGGCCTGGGGAGCCTCTCTTCCAATAGTCCCAGCCACAAACTGGACCCATGGATCTTTTTCCCGTGAGGAGTCCTCATTCTTACTAAGCCCTGATCCAAAGGAAAAGTGAACAGAGACCCAGATTTCAGCTCTAGAACCAGCTGCCTCTGCTTTTTGCCAGGTAAGGTTACTAGGGGGAGGGGTGACAGTGAGGAGCTGGAATGGTGGGACTGGGGAGAGCCATAGGGGCCCCCTGGGGGCCTGTGAGAGCACCCATAGAGCAGGGGCTGACAGCTCCAGAAGAGATGGGAGAGAGGCATGGTGATGGGGCCTTGGCTGCCTTCCTTGCCATTTACCTGAGAATCTATTTCCTTGTGGAGAGTGAAGTCAGAGGCTCTTCTTCACACCTGCAAAATAGTCTCAGTGACCCCTTCTCTCTGGACTGTCCTAAGCTGCAAACAGAGTCTTGGGAAATTGGTAAGAGGAAGAGGGTAAGAGAGTTAGAAACACTTCTGGAACAATCCTCAAACTTTGGGACTCTTTAGATAGGCAAATGAGATAAACTATTTGGTTTCTGAGACTGGTGTGCAGAAAGCAGGACTGGATCCATCTTCTCCAGAAGAGCCCCAGAGAGGAAAAGCACTGAGGGCAAGCCTTTAGCGGGTGGGAGAAGAGGGAGGGTAGAAACGGCCTCCAGGGTTCCAGCTAACCCAGCTTCAGCTCATTCTGGGGTAATACCCAGAACAGAGGTTCTCAAAATATTGAAACGCAGGTTAGCTCCATCAAAATCACATGGGCAACATTTATGATGACGACTTTTCTACCCTCTGTCCACGATTCAGCATCAAGTATCAGAGATCTGCATTTGTATCTAAAAAGCACCCTCCAGTACTCCTTAGACCTGCTTAAAAAGAAATCATAAACCTGGAGGCTTATAAAACACTAATGCCTCAGAAACCCAGGGCGAACAATCACAAATGTCCTGCCACCTTGCCCCTCGTTAATGCCACTCCCCACGGAGCACAGCGCACCTGGCTGATCCAGGGAGCAGTGGTGCAGTCATGTTTTCTTCTATGTTATGAAGAGCTGAGCAGCATTTCCTGTGCCCCGTGCTTCATTAGCACATTGGTGGTGCTGCTTCCTGTCATTGAGTCTCTGTTTCCATTCTCTTTGCTTTGGGGGTTGGGGAAGACGAGCTTCCCACAGAGCCTCTCTGGCCTCTTGGCAGTTTCCACCTCTGAGCTCCTGACACTTCCACCAGAAGGCAGAGATATGGCTTCCACCTGAATCACTGCTCGGGAGCCCCACACCCAGGCAAGCTCTGCCCTCCTGCAGTGGGCATTGTAGCCACATCCAGGTAGAACCAAATCTATTGGTTTTGTAGTTGGGGTCAACTCAGCCTGACATTTCAGGGGTAGATACAAAGTAAGGAGTTTGTTGGGGGAAAGAAAATTCTAGAAGGAAAGATTGGAAGTTTAAAAACCAACAGACGTTTTTGTCTCTGCGTGAAGGACTTTGGTGAATAAAGATTTAAGAAGAAGAAATTTTGAGAGTAAAATGTTCTGCATGAGGGAGTGTTTGGAAGACTTGGAGACCAGGAGGGTTTCTGTCATTCTTACTACGAGAAAAAAAATGGGGGGTGGTTCCTACCACAAAGGGTTATATGTAAAATACAAACTAGTTTTGCCTTTTCTCTTGGGAGTCAGCAGCTTAGGAAAATCCAGAAGAAGTGGCAGCCATGCTGGCTAGCTGACGGTGATTAGAGGCTTACGAGGAGAGGCCAAAGCCCAAGAAGTTCCTGTGTCAATGGATGTCATTACCCCAACTCTTTCTCAAATCAGAGGGAGGACTTCGGAGCCTGGCACTCTGCAGGTAACTCCCGGCAGGCTGGACAGGTGAGTGGCTCTGGGTGGTGACCTGCACCCTTCCCCGAATTACAGAGGGCCCTGGTCTACAGTGGAAGGTTGCCACCCCTCACAACCAGGTTCAGGTCCACTGAGACCATCAGACTTTAGGCTCAGAGATGTTTGCTCAGAACTGCTCAAAGGAAAGGAATAGATGTTGAGGAGAAAAAGGACAGGAAAAGATGTGACAATACAGGATTTTCTTAGAGCTAGCTGCCTGGCCTGGTTGGATTTCTCACCTCTCTCTGGCCTTGATCTCTGTCCTCAATCTTTCCTATCTCAAGTGCCTCCACTTGCTCCTCAGAAAAGTACTAGGTCCCACAATGATGAAAACAAAAGGCCCGCTTTTTCCAAAGATATGTTTTTAGGTCCTAAAAACTTGCTATGAATGAAAAATGTAATTGTGGATATGATAAAGGGATGTCTTTAGGACATAAAATCTCATAGGACTAATTGCCAGTATCAATGCATGCTCTATCTTTACTTTCAATATCTTCCCAACTAAATTAGAAGTCCATCAGCCGTCAAAACTTTAGGAACACTGGTATAATACCTTTCAGTGCTATAATAACAGTACAAGTCAATAATAATAATTTAAAATCAAAATCACTGTACTTTGGGAAATAAATGTTATTACCATGACAAGCACATGCCACTTGCTGATGGACAGGGGCACTGATGGGGAATGAATTCATAAAGTCAGAATCCTGGATTTCCACTCCCTCCAAAGAAAGCAGTTTTTGTATTTATTCATTTGTTTATGAATTCACTCATTCACTTAACAAATATTTATCAGGCCCTTACTATTCCAGGTACTGGATGAACATAATAGACAAGTCCATGACTTCCTGGAGTTTATACTCAAATGGTGGAGTCAGATATAAACAGATAAACAAATGAACATACAATATAATGTCAGTCATAAACCCTATGAAGGAAACCCAGAGCAGAGTAAGGGAACTAAGAATAAGATGTAGTCAGGGAAGACCTGTTTGAGGAGGTGACATTTCAGAAGAGTCCTGAGTTAGACGAGGAACTGAACCATGCAGATACCTGGGAGAGAGCAGAAGGTCTGAGATAAGACTGTGCTTTGCATTCTTTGCATAGCAAGGAATCCTGGCAGTCAAAGTCAGAGGGAAAGTGGTAGGAAAGGAAGTAGGAGGTAGGAAGAGGCCAGAACATAAGGTGACATGAGGTCCTGACTGGATTGGGACTATGGATGTTACCCCAGGTGTGATAAGTCATGGAGGGGCGCAATCTGATTTACTGTTTAGAGGATCATGCTGGCTCATGTGTGAAGACAGTATGTTGGGGATGAGAGTGAAAGCAAGAAGACCCATTAGGAAGGTTATTGCAAAGGCTGATGTGGAACACACAGCGACTTAGGCCAGGTGGTGTCAGTGGAGGGCTGAGAGGTAACTAGGTTTGGGATAGATGCCCAGCATTGAACAACAGAATTTGCTGGTTGAGTAGGAATGGGACATGAAGGAAAGAGAGCAGTCAGGGATGATTTTAGATGGAACTGCTAGGTGATGGGAAACACCAGAGGAGGAGCAGGCTTATGGGAGGAGAACAGGAGTTATTTCAGAGAGATTTGGTTTGAGATAACTGTGGAAATCTTGTGGAAATGCCCAGTACAAGGTTGGATAAACAAGACGAGAACTCAGGAGAACAAAAACCTTCCCTGGTAGATGACCTGGTTTCTAATATTTGGGGGTGTGCCAGGTGTGCTAGTAAGTCCTTCTGTAACCTCAAATGGCTGCTTGCTGTTAAAACAGGCAACAAAGAGCGCTAACCCCATCCCAGCCAGGAAACTGCAACTGGCATGGAACTTGCTCACTGCATTTGTGTTGGTTAAATTCCACAGCACAGAGTGTTGCTCAGAGACCAGCTTCACAAGTTGGGGCTGTGAAGATCACTCAAGAGTACACAAGGTGGACTCTGTCACAGCTGCCACTCCCTAATTGTAAATTGGGTAATCCTTTCCTTTTTGAAAGACAGGGAGCCTAGGTCTGGAACAAGGGGAAGCAAGGGAAGATGAACTTGCTTTTCCAAGTTTGGAGGCCAATGCGATGCAGTGAAAAGAGCATGCCCTTTGGGCCCAAACATTCCATCTTTGATCCTTCCCACCTGTGCAATGTTTGCTATGTTACTTTACCTGAGTCTAAATCTCAGGTTCTGGGGCCACAGAGAGAGAGACAGGATTGTTGTAAAGATTAAATAAGTTTCACTTTCAAAATCCTGGCATCCAATAAGCATTCACACTGGAGAGTTCCTTCCCCTGTATCCACTTTCCCTCTGTCCATGAAGAGATGACCCTCTCTTACCACACAGCCCACCCCAGCTTGGCCTTTCTTCACCAGGCTCCCATGGCAAATCCTCAGGCTCTAACTCCCGAGGGAAGCATCTTCTCCAGCCTCTCCATCCTCCCTGGCTGGGGCATGACACTCAGTTTTCCTCACAGAGATAAAGACCAGAGCAGCAGCATCATTTCTGGGTTTGCGGGGCTCCTCACCATCCTCCTAGTCATCGCAGTTCTCTGCATCCTGTGGAACTGGAATAAACGGAAGAAGCGTGAGTCCCCTGTTTGTCAAAGTTCAGACAGGCTATGGCCAATAATCTAGCCTGGCATTTTAAGCCCAGTTTCTTCTCCGGGAATAAACTACTGCACCAAGGAGTCCTCCATTCTTCTCTGACATACTGGTTCTTGTCTCCCTCAAGATCTTAAGCTGTGGCTCCAGAAGGCTGAGTGCTGATTGGAGTTCTGTTTTGAAAGTCTTTGTACATTTATCTAGTACCCCTGGGCACTTGTTTTCTCTTTCTGCAGTTGAGTTCCCTGTTCCTAGAGCTCCAATGGAATTTGTCAAGTCTGAACTTTTTATGATGCAGGGTGCTGGTGGGGAACACTTTCAGGGACCGTGCCATCCCCAAGAACCCCCTCTCTCTCACTGCCACGCAGGGCGAGATCCTAACCTGCGAGTTACCAACATGTTCTTGCTGACTCTGCTTCGATCCAGACGACGAGCCAAAAATATTTATGACCTCTTGCCCCGGACTCAAGAAGAACTAGGTAGGTTCCTCTTTCTAATCAATAGAATCAAGACATATGGGACTTCTACCCCCAAAATGCAACTCTTGCCACCTGGAAGCAACTTTCTCTAAACTTCCAGAACTTTCTGCCCTTCAGTCAGGAAGCATGGTGAATAATGGGATAGATAAACTTTAAGATGCAAGTCCAGTGGGAAGCCTAGAAAGCTCTAAAAAGGGAGCAGGGGGTTGTCTGGGTTTGGGATTTGGTTTTTTCCTGATGTTAAGGTAGCAGAGGACAGATGGGTATGTCCAGGGATGGAGAAGGCCTTCCCAAGGAGAACATGTCTGCCAGTATTACAGGCAGGAAGGGTTCATACCAGGAGCTTCCCTCCCAATCCCCTACCCCTGTGCTAGTGTTCTCTGGTATTATAGGGCTGAGGAGGCCTCCAGGTCTCAGACTGCATCATCCTTATAGCTTTTACCCTCTCACCAGAGAACACCAGCCTCCAAGCACCAGACACCCACTTCACCCTCTATGCAGGGAGAGTGCAGGCTGAAGCTAGGGCTGGCTAACTCACATCAGAATTTGTTCTCTGTCCTTTCAGGGAGACATCAGTCAAGGAGTATCCGTATTTTCAGTATTGAGAGCCTCCGCTCCAGAAACTCTGACAGCCCTCATTCTGGGCATGTGGTAAGAGTCACACAAAATGACCAGCCCTTTGGGGGAAAATTACTTGTCTGTGGCAGGACTCAGGTGAAAGAGTTGTAGGTCTCAGATCTTGTGTCACTGCAAACAAACAGCATGTCCGTTGGCACTCATCCTTACAGCCCTGTTAATAAATCAGAAGACCAGCCTCAGGACCTCCCTACTAACCATGGAGAAAATTTAAATTAAGAAAGATATGAGCAAGTGCTTGGGATTTTAAGAAGGGCACCAGGGACCTGGCTGGTGTGGCTCAGTTGGTTAGAACATTCGACTCTAGGTCAGGGCACATACCTAGGTTGTAGGTCCAATACTCTGAGGACGCACAGAAGACAACCAATCAATGTTTCTCTCACATCAATGTTTCTCTCTCTTTTCTTCTCTCCCTCTTCTCTCTCTAAAATCAATGAAAAAAATGTCCTTGGGTTGGGGTGAAAAAGAAGAAGAAGAAGGAGAAGAAGAAGAAGAAGAAGAAGAAGAAGGGCATCAGGGCAGGAGTCCTCCAGGATAGTATGTTAGAATTGCAATGAGTCCTTTTAGCAAAGGACATGATGCTTATTCAAATCAGTATGGTCCTCTTCAAAGCAATTGCCTCAGGAGGGTCACAGATATTCCAGCATTGCTATTGGTGCTCAAAACAGACTTAAAACCCTGCTTTAGGAATTACTTCTGGGGCTTGTGTCAAATTATTTTAATTATACTCAACAGCAGAAATAGTCATAGGTCATTGAGCACTATAGCTGGAGTAGGAAGTGTTTGATCAGAAGGGGACTCCTTTGAGGTTACAGAGAGAGTATTACAACTGGTAACAATAGCCTCACATGCCTTCTGCTATGGCTCTGATGGTAGCCCCCATGAAGTACCCCCCCAGCTAGGGCAGAGGCACAGGGACAACTGAGGGACTGCTTCACTTGTTAAAGAACCAGTCGCTTTGGTTTTATGATCATCTTGAGTAAATGCAGTCCTGCTGCTGACGGTGATTCTGTTGTTTCCCAGCCTCTCTTGACCATGTGGCAACCTCCCTGTCGCCACCTTTGCTACCTCCTCCTTGTGCATGTCCCATCTTTGGACTTCACTGACACATGGCAGGGAAAAGAAAAGTCCTCCGCCAAGTCTACTTGCAGGACTTGGTGGGTCCTGAGGGAGTTCTGCATATAGAGCTTGGATCCCAAACTGACTTCAGTCCACAAATAAAATACAGTTAGCTTAGACTCTGTAGTGTTTGAAGAACATTTGAGCCAGTTGCCAACATTTAAAAATCTAAAAGCTTTCACATTAAAGTCCAGGTGGCCCGCTTTTCTTGAAAATTCAGAAGTTCTGGAAATATTAGACAAGCATCCCTAATGGCCATAGTCAGCTGCCTCTTTAATAATAACAACAAACATTTTAGTGTTTTCTCTGTGCCAGGAGCAATTCTAAACACTTCACATGTAGTAACCCATTTACTTCTCACAGAAACTTTAAAATATAGGTATTATAATTATTCCCATTTTATAAGTTATGAAACTAAAGCACAGAGAATTTAGGTAACTTTCCCAGACTCAGAACAGAGTGGTGAGGCCAGGATTTTCGCCCTGGGTCTGAGCCTGTCTTTACCTTTATGCTCAATGCTCTACTACCCTTCAGTGTGCTCGGAGGTGGCAGGCTCTCTCCAGTTTACAACATTTCCCTCCACTCACCATTGAAACCCCACATCGTAGCCAAAAAACAGTTTCAATTTATCATCACATTTACACAGTTGCTTTCCCTAAATTCTGCCCATTTTGTTCATACTTTCCTACCATCTAAAGCCCTGCATTGGGAGACCCCTGATTAAGAGCTATTCTCCACAATGGAGAACTGAGTGAAGGAACAATCAGTTAACAGTCCTGGGTGGGAAGAAGAAAGGCTTTGTCTATGTTTCTTCTTCTATCCTGTCACTGGCCTTCTCTTCTTGCTCATAGCCCTCTCAAGCAGGCAATGTCTTCCAGGAGCACAGAGCCCAGACTCACACTGTGCGAATCTATGACAATGCCAGCTGGCCCCAGATGTGTGGGAACCTCACTCCCTCAGCACACTACGTCAACATCAGAGCACCTGGAGACCACCCAAGCATCTCTTCAGAGGACTCAAGAGATTATGTCAATGTCCCCACAGCAGAAGAGATTGCTGAAACTCTAGCTTCTCCCAACAACCCCCCTGGGAACCTCTTTATCCTTCCAGTTGCCCCAGAGCTGGAACTTACTGAGGAAGGAGACAAGGGCTGTGCCAATGTCAGTGACAGCACTAGTTTTTGGTCTCTGGGAACTGAGAATAATGATCCACTCAGTGATGAGGAAGGTTCTTCTCAGACCTCAAATGACTATGTCAACATGGCAGAGTTGGATCTTAGGGCCATCCAGAGGAAGCAGCCCCAGGTGTCTTTTCAGTACTGCAGAGATTATGAAAATGTCCCACCACCAGATCCCAATGGAAGCCAGTGTCAGGAAGAAGAAGTGACAACCTCAAACACAAACCATGAAGAGGGCAGGACAGACGATGAAGGGACCCACATCCAATTTGTCATGCAATCAAGGAGGTTCCTGGATTTAGGGGATTATGTGATTTATCAGCCATCTGCACAGACTGAGGACAGTCAGGTGAAACATGAAGAAGAGGTGTCAGATGAGGACTCTAATGACTACGACACTGTGCTTGTTGTCAAGTCGGGAGGCGGGGACTCTGGGGAAGAACCAGACACACAGACACATGGCTCCTTCCTGATTAATTAAGACCCACCCACCCATCCAGCTGGAAAGCCACACATAGTCTAGCCTGAGGGATGAGGGGAAGACCCTTGACCATCCTCGTTTCCGTGGATTCATTTGGTTAGGCTAAAAAGAGGCTGAGAAGGAGTAGGGAGTTAAGTGGCTCACAAAAGCAGAGGTTTGGGAAAGCCACAAAAAAATTCTTTTCAAATAGGGTACCATTATCTCTCATACCAACCTAAGAATGTTTCCTAAAACTGCTTTTTATGACTATTAACAGATGAGAAAGAAAGAGAGAACTTGAGTGCACAGTGGAAATATAAAGTAGTCTAAAATTATTATCTTCACTAATACTAGCAGGCTTCAAAGCAAAAATTCAGATTATTTTGTAATCCAGGCAGAGGCCAATAGGAAGAGAGAAGTCAGAGTAGGGGAGGGGGCCAGTTTCCACTTTAAAATGAGGATGGACAACTAAAGCTGGAGATGTGGAACAATAGGAACTCTCACTCACTGCTGATGGGATTGCAAAGCATGAGATTCAGTTTGGAAAACTATTTGGCAATTTCTCTAAATATACACTTATATTACATAGCCATTTCACTATTAGGTATTTACACAAGTGAATTGAAAACTTGTCTTCACACACACAAACCATACAAGACTATTTATAGTAGCTTTATTCACATTTGTCAAAACCTAAAAATAACTCAGATGTCTTTCAACAAGTGAATGGGTAAACTGCAGTATATTTATACAATGACTATCTATACCCAACAGTAAAAAAGAAATGAACTGTCGATTCATGCAACAACATGGACAAATCTTAAATGCATTTTTCTAAGTGAAAGAAGCTAGACCTAAACCTCTACCTACTGTATGACTCCATTTATATGACATCTGGAAAAGGCAAAGCTATAGGGACAAAGAACAGATTAATGGTTGGCAAGTCTGAGGAAAGGGGACAGGGAGTTCACTACCAAGAAATGTTTGGGGTAATGGAGCTGTTCTGTATGGTACTGTGATGGTGCACACATACTCTATGCATATGTCAAAATGTAAAAAAAAAAAACTGTATAGCATACAGAGTACTTTTATTACATGCAAATTAAAAATATTAACCAGGCTGTCAGGGGAACACATGCTGAAATGCATATTGTGATACATGGGTCTAACTGTCTTACAACTATATGACATAACTTCAGTGAAGAGAAAGAGCTGCCCTAATTAACTTTGGAAAATAATGTTTTTACTTGCAACTAAGATGAAGACACAAAGAACTCTAGGAAAACACTGCACTCTAGTTGGTAAATTTGTATTTCACAGGAGTGTAGGTTAGCTATTCTGAAACTACTTGAAGTGTATACTAAAGTTAAACAAGTAAGTAAATAAGTATATTACAGATGAGGAGCCACAGGTTTCTTACTGTCAGAGAAAGAAGTAACAAATAAGCAAGTAGCAAAGGCTCCAGTTAACTTTGTGGTGCTGGATTAAAGTTGGCAGTACAGTTTGAACTCATATTCATATATATATGAATAGATACAAAAATCAATATAGATGTGTATATACATAGGTGAATATTCATACATTTCTTAGCTTTGCCACTAGAGGGCATAGATGGTATGACTCCCCAATAGCAATGAACACACTTAGCGCTCAGAACTTGGCTTCTAAATATCATCCTCCAGTAAACGGAACCAGAGCTCCTTGGAGAAAGGACTATTTCTAGGGCTGGGGCAAAGAAAACTAAAGGAGAGTGGTAAGAAAAGATGAGAGCATGTTCAAAGGAGCTAACTGAAAGAGCTCCCTAATGCAAAGCTAGAACAGTTTGAGAAATAAAAATAAGTAATTATAAAATAAATTTATAACCCAAAGAATAAAAGAAATATCCATAATTGATATCCATACCAATAGTCAAATAGACAAAGTGAGAAAAAAGGATCAGTCTTCCTTACAGATAAATCACAAACAATAAATGCAGAAGAAATGAATGAAAAAGAAAACCACCATCAAGACCACAAAATAATTGCTGTGGGTAAGTCTGGATGAATGTTAAAATTAGTGGGTGACACTTTAGGGAGAAATAAGATAGTTTCATATCCTCAAAGACTCTTCCCCAAAATACTGACTACTGTAATGATTTTAACACACATGTCCACAAATTATTTGATACTCCCCCTGGAACTTAATTCCCCTCTCTTTCAGTGTGGGCTGGATCTAGTGACTATTTTCTAACAAACAGAATCTAAAATGGGGGGGAAAAGTAAATTGAGAGTGGAGAAACTTGGCAGACACCATCTAGACCACATGATCAAGGATAACTCACTGGTAATAAGTCATTTTGCTATATGATTGAGGAAAAGGATACTTCATCTCTATGGTATTTTCTAAAATCTAAAATCCATTCTTATCATGAGAAAAAAAACAGAAAACCCAAATTGTATAACATCCTACAAATACCAGAGCAGAGCTCTTAAAGGTGCCATGAAACACAAAACAGTTGAGAAACTGTCAGATGGAGGATGCTGATGAGAAAGGATACCTGATGAGGATACCTGATGAGAAAGTAGAGCATGGCACCTGGATTTACATCCTGGGGCAGAAAAAGAATATTAGCAGGAAAAAAATTATGAAATTCCAAAAAAGCTATATCTTAGTTACCAGTAGTATATTAATGTGAGTTTTTTTAATTTTGAGGAATATGCCATGGTATGGAAGATGTTAACATTGGGGGAAGGGGGGGAAGGGTATACAGGAACTCTACTGTCTTTGCAACTCTTCTATAAATGATTTCTAAATAATAATTTTAAAGCATGGATAAAACTGGGAGTAAAGGCAAAAGGATCATCCCACTTAAATAAGTGTGCCTTTGTTTCTTATTTGGCAAAATGGCTGTAATATAAAGCACATGCTGGTGTAATACTTCTGGGTGTTTGTTTTCCGAATTGTTTGGCTAGCATATACGCTCAGACTCCCCTATCAATCTGCATCCTTTTGCTTGCTGCATCATTAAGTCAAGCATATTTTGACTTAAATAGAGTTAAGTCCTTTGCATTCACCTTGGCTCTCAGCACAGGGACCAAGATAAAGGTAGTTATTGATAATCGTTGATTGATGATGTGGGTTCAGGACACCTACTTATACCATAAAATGTCAAGGAAAGTTTTTCTGTTGTTCAGGAATCAAGACTGAAGCCTAAAGCTGAGTAGTAAAGGTATGAAACAGCCCACATTCTGAGGTCAGAGTGCCACCAGCTGTCAGGAGTCAGCCAGTTCCCCTCAGGGCTTACTGAGGTTGGGAAAATTAGTTATACTTGATACTGCTCTCCCCTGTGCTTCATCCTTGCTCCATGGGAGAGGACTGAGAGTGACAGAGGCTAGCTGCTGAGAAGTGTCATGGTCAGGAAGAGAGGTTATTTCCTCCTTCACCGCCCACATGTTCCCTGGGTTGTAACCTCCTTCTGCAGAGTGATTGATGCCCCAGAAAAAGGAGGAAGAAGAGAACATTGCCAGAACTGAAAGCAGTTCTGGAGCAGCAGCTGGCCACCCATTCCTGGGCGTGGCACAATAAGAGTGTCGCCCTGGGATAGCGATGGCCTGGGCCATCTTGTTGACACCACCTCAACAAGGTATCAAGTATGGGCCTCAAGGACAAATCTAAGGAGGCCCTACAAGCACTTACATGGGTCCTATAAACTGAACATTTGTGTGCCCCCAAAATTCATTATGCTGAAACCTAATCCCAATATGATGATATTTAGAGGTGGGGCTTTGAGAGGTGATTAGGTCATGACTGTGGGACCTTCATGAATGCGGTTAGTGCCCTAATAAAGGTGGCCTCAGAGAGCCCCCTCACCTCCTACTATGCGTGGACACAGCCAGAAGACAGCTGTCCATGAGTCAGGAAGTGGGCTCTCACCAGACACCAAACCTGCTGGCACCTTGAGGTTGGACTTCCCAGCTTCCAGAACTGTGAGAAATAAATTTTTGTTGTTTAAGTCACCCAGTCTGTGTTTTGTTTTGTTTTTTTGTTACAGTAGCATGAATGGACTAAAATAGTGGGATAAAGACAAATTATTCCAGGAGCTACTTCTCCCACACCTCATGACTATTGTGGGTAGATTTCATCAGCACTCTCCGATTCACCCCACAAGTGGCCGGCATTTAAATTCCTACCAAATAGGGTGCCATGTCAATCTGGTATTGATGGCCAAGGAAGCAACAACAAGCACATAGAGAGGATGATAATCTCACCCGGTCAAGTAAGGAGGGATTTGTATCAGATGCAAGAAGAAAAATTTGAACAAAACTGAGTTTTTAAGTATTAGCATGAGAGAATTTCTTATAACCAAAAGGGAATGAAAAATTATGGGATCAAAATAAGTTGTTAAGAAAGGTGTCACCCAATAGGAAAGAGAGGTTCAAACTACCACAGTGGGGGGGCAAGTCACATTTATACCTCAATAAGCCAGTTACACTTATATATATTCTCCCATTGAGAATGATTAATAAATTATAATTGCCTCATATTAGATAGTTAACTGTTCTGTTTATTTCTTGTTCTGAGACTTTTTACAAATGAGTGGATGAAAGACTTTCTATTAAATTATAATTCTTTCTTTCCCTTTATAGTTTCATTTTCTCACATCAGTTGCCAGGAAATTTGGAGTTAAACTGAATGCCCAACTGCAGTAATGATCCAATCACATATGCCTGATAATGCTAAATATGAGAAAATTTGTTCAAAATTAGGATGAGAAAATAGATATAAAGATAACTAAGAAATTATGATTTCTTAATTACTTAAATATAGTGAATTAAATACTCAAACTTACATTATATAGATTGTGACCTCATTCAGAATACTGTTCAGATTTTATTTATTTGTTTTTAGAGAGAAGGGAAGGGAGGGAGAAAGAGAGGGAGAGAAACATCAATGTGTGGTTGCCTCTTGCACACCCTAGTAGGCTAGGAGGACCTGGCCTGCAACCCAAGCAGGTGCCCTAGACTGGGAATCGAACTGGAGACCCTTTGGTTCGCAGGCCAGCACTCAATCCACTGAGCCACACCAGCCAGGGCCCCATAGTTTCTTCTCCTTTCAGTCTTCCCTTACTCTCAATAAGTGGAAGGTGGAATGTGTTGGTAAAATGTACATGGATCAAGAAGTGGAGGTAAAAATTCTGGTCACTAGGTGTAACATGGGGCATTCCCACATCACCAAGCAATTCTCCAGCACTGCTGGGTGTCCTACAACTCAATTCTGACATCATCTACCCATAGAAAGCATCAAATTACACAGGTTACATGCTCAGTCCCGCAAGACTGCCCTCCATTTCAGATGCCAATTTCAAGTCCCCATTGCCACTTGTGCTTCCGGCCAACCAGCTTGGTTCTCAGGACCCTATCCTTGGGTTTGATTAATTTGAAAGCAGCTCATATGACTCAGGAAACCAGTTTCCTCACTAAATTACTGATTCATTACAAAGGGTATTAAAGGATATGAATCAACAGCCAAATAAAGCTCCAAGTGAAGGAGCTTCTGTCCTAATGGTAAAAGCACTCTTGTTCACCAAACCAGAAGTTCTTTGGATCCTATTCTTTTGGGTAGTAAGGGGACCTTATTACATAAGCATGATTGACTATTAAACCATTGGCTACTGCCAATAGATTGAACATCCAGCCCCTCTTCTCTCCCTGGAGGCCAGTGGGGTGGGACTAAAAGTTGCAAACCACTAGTCATTGATTCTCTGGCAGTTGCTCCCCTCTTTAAGAGTGATCCAAAAGTCACCATCAACGTAACAAAAGGTACCTTTGTCAACCTTTGTCACTCTCATCACTTAGAAAATTCAGAGGGTTCTAGGAACTCTGTGCCAGAAATAGGGACAAAGACCAAATATATATTCCTGGCTGGTGTGGCTCAGTGGATTGAGTGCTGGCCTGTGAACCAAAGATTCACCAGTTTGATTCTCAGTCTAGGGCACATGCCTGGGTTTCAGGCCAGGTCCCCAGTAGGGGGCACACAAAGAGGCAACCACACATTGATGTTTCTCTCCCTCTCTTTCTCCCACCCTTTCCCTCTCTCTAAAAATAAATAAGTAAAATCTTTTAAAAGATACCAAATATATAGTATTTCTTCTTATAAATCACAATATCACAGGAGTAAAAACAATTGGGATATTTTGTGCAGTCTTTCCACTGTCCTGGTAAGAATGAAATATAATTAACTCTTGTTATTCATAGTAGTTATAGTCTAGAAAGTCACCATAAATACTGAATTAGTGGATACTACTGAACCACACTGTTCCTAAGGGAAAGAAACAATTAGGTTTCTTCGAACTTTGGTCACAATATTTTCATTAACTGATCAATACATAACCTTGTGTGTGTTTTGGTTTAAAGACACCTTATTTAACATGTATTATTAATTCATTAACATTGGAACTCACAGCCAACTGCACTGTAACTCACATCTAAGTCAGGCTTATCTAGCACACATATTTTCTCCATAAAACACATCTTACAGCCTTATTGCCCTTTGAACAGTAGACAGCACTTCAGCACTACATTTAGGGATCATTTGAAACAGTGAAATCACCGACAAAACCCACAAAAATAAAGACAATGTGCCACTAAATAGACTGCAAGAAAAACACTTGTTCACAGTTTGAGAGCTGAAATGAGAAGGCAGGATTTTGTCTTGTTCAACCCTATGTAGGGGAACGTGGGTGTTGGCTGTTGAACTTTTTCTTGCTCTGCACATGTGCACATCCATGAATAACCAAAAGTGCCAAGAGTATTGATTTTGAGGTTACTAATAAATTTTAGCTATAAGTAGGTAAATTTACAAACACAGTACTACAAATAATGAAGATCAACTGTATAAATGTACCAGCTACAAAATAAAAATTGCAAATTTGGTGATTCCACATATGAGTTAAATGCTGATATATTTGCATTTAAATTGGCATTACACAATATAAATATAAATGGTAAAATTCATGTTAACAATTTAAAATTCTAACTTAGAATGGCACTAAATAGTAAGGAGCACCATTAGAAGTCAAGAGAACAGAAGAAAGGGAAAATTTTTATATTTCAGAACTTCTAACAGTACATTTTACTTAATTTTTGAACAAGGGGTCTCACCCTTCACTTTCATTGGGTCCCACAAATTATGTAGCTGACACTATTCCCACAGGCACTCTTTCTTGTCCTCAGGGTCATGTGCTTACCAGAATCTCTTCACAGGAATATGAGACCTTTCATTTCCCCATTCCAGCTACAGAGAACACATCCCTTCTCCTAAGAAATGTGGCTCTTTCAGTGTTCACTCTCCCCCAACACATGATGCTCAAGGTTTCAGTTTTGCAGTCCTAAGTGTCAGCTGGATAGACAGTAAATGACCATGTCCACTTATTAGCATGGGTGGACTCCTGGAGGGAAAGACAGACCCTAGTCCAAAGGTCAAAAGGACAAGGATACTTCCATCAGTATTTCCATTTTGCTGTTCTACCAGTGCGAGATATAGACCTCTAGTTGGTCCTTTCTATTACTCAATCTATTGAAATAATAAAATCTAAAACTATGGAAGTGTAACAGGGTGCAGCCAAGGGGGGGGGCAAATAGGGATTTGAAATGGGGTCCAGAACTCAAGGTGTTCAGGAAATATTAGGATGTCCTCACCACCCCCACCCCCGCCCCCGCAAAAGGTGTGGGTTGGGGGAAGGGACAAATGGAGCAGGGCCATTGAGAGCTGTTTTGCATAGCAACAGCTTTGCAGCTACCCTCTGATGTGGTCATTTAACATATCTATAACCTTTAACTGGTTACAAAGATATGTTAAATAGCTGTAGCCATGCTCTGAACCAGGGGAATGGAAGTAACTTCCCCACCAAGACGTAACTGGGGGCAGGTTCCCTGA